AGTAGAAACTCAAATGTGCTCTGATTAAAGGAGAGGGACTCAGAGTTTTTATGAAAAAAGGGAGGAAGATGAGGTAAATTTTATTAAGGGAAATTTCATTGGTGCTGGATGAGGTAAGGCTAGGTTTCTACTTCATAGATTGGCTTGAGATTTGGTCATCAGGCAAAAGGTTAGACTTGTACTTCATTGATTGGTTAGAAATTCAATTGTCAGCACTCCAGTTTTATCAGTCCTTACAAACAAGCTATTCTTATCTTTACTGACTTGGAATGTTGGTGGTTTGGTCCAGTTTGGGAGACAAAGAAAACAAGACATGCAAGGCAATTCCTCTGAAATCGCTTCTCCAGCTCTATTTTAGTACGGATCCATTCATGTCATCTTTTACATTACATAATAAAGATGAAACAAAATTCCATATCTTTAATAGAAAGCTGAACTGATACAAAGATTTCATGCTAATTATTCTGTTACTGCTAATAGGATGAAGCATTTGACAGAAGAATGTTTTTGACATAGCTTTCGCTTGTATTTTTCTTGGTTTCAAGTAGGTAAGTCCACAGGGGCTTTTGTTTCATATTCTCATATTCTGGCAGTGCGTTGTGCCTGGCACATAGAAAGCACAAGAGTAATTTCAAGAAAGAAATCTCAGGAATCATCTTCATCATTTATCATATCCAATTTGTCCTTAGGCTCTGTAGTATTTACCTCCAGCACCTTTTGAATCCATTCTCTTTGAACATTTTTCTTTCCATCGCGTTAAGCCAAGCCTTTATTTTTTACTACAATAGCTTCCTAATCTACATTTCCTAAAGACTTAACTTCTTAAAACAAAGAATATTTCATATCACTTTCTAAAACTATCCATTGCCTACAGAAGCAGTCCTCAAATTTTTAGAGGTGGCCGAAAATCACTTTGTTCTTTGAGAGTAAATTGCAAATAAAAGACCATTTGAGAAATGAGGTGTTTAAGATTAGTCAAGGTGTGGCAAAGGGTAATGAAATGACGTTTCAAATTTTGGTCTGGAAACTAGAAGCCCATAGTTTGCAATGGCAAAATAGTTAATAGAGTTACCACTGGAAGTTGTCTCAGGACCACGTGTCCACTAGATATGTGCATTACCATCTGGAAGCACTTTAGATTCTTTTTTGGATGTAGCACACATTTTGAATCAAAAATGGTCAGTTTGTCAAAATGCAAAACTACACCGGTTCAAGGATAGAATGATCCACTCTTATCATCCTTATGTGGAGGTTTTAGGGTTTGTCTTCCTTAAGCAAATAGACAGCCAGTTATTTCTTTAGCGAAATGGGTTTACTCCTCCTGATCAGCAAAGAACCACAATTGAGGACCTGCCACCATAAGCAGCCACGTCTGGGTCCCCAGCAGCAAGGCGAGAAGAAACTCTTTATAGAGAGGAAGAAGAAGTTGAGAGAACTGTTGTAAACAGAGAGTCCATTGGAGGAATTGAGAGTTCCAAGTGTGGTGGCTTTCCATGGGCTGAGTTGTGACAGTCTCTTATTGGCTGAGCTTCTTGGCTCATCAAAGAGGAAATCTTCCTACTTCCCGGCTAGGCTCTGCTATGGAGGTAAGGCATCAGAGCTCCTCCTTTTGGCCTCCAGACTCCATTTTAAAGAGGTTTCTGTTTATGAATTTACACAGGTTGAAGGGAAGAATGTTTCTACTAAGGAACAAAATCACGATTCCACTGATTTCTGTCTAAAGATTGAATATCTCTTTTCTATGTCCATTTCATTTTAAGAAGCTATTTCTTCTCTCCACTACTGTATAGAGCAGGCAAATATAAATTATAAAATTAAGTTCATCAGTCACCTTGAGGTGATCATGAAGGAACTATAGGAGGAATGGATATCACCTCCAGACCCTTAACTTGGAAAACAGTTGTCCTCAGTGGCCACTGTGTTGTTCTCCCATGAGGTGGAGCTCTTGAGGTGCAGCTCACCTGATAAACAGGTCACTCTGGTATCTGCTGTCCATGTACATGGGCCCTCTCATATCTTGCAGTTTTCAAGGTCAGTACATTCTGTTCTCTCTCTGCTTTGGCCCAGGTCTTTTGTGGTTCACTGGTACCCTCCATGGTGTTTCTAATTCCTAGTCCGGTGTTGTTTGACAGCAAGACAAACTTACAGGCAATCAAAGGCTTAAAAACAGTTCGTGGAACTGTTTTTGCACAGCGTTGAAAATTGGTAGCTTCTCCCCGAATATCCTAACTTGATAAAGGTGCTATTAGGAGAATCTTGCTCCCTGCTAAGAATGGGACATCCGTAATTACGCCATGACTTCAGTGAGTTCTTGTGCTTTCTTCTCTCACTCTAAAATGGGCATTTGTCAGTTCCTAAATGTACTTCTAAGTGCTGTTGGGGGAAAGGTTCTAGTATTTGTTGGAGAATGCCAGATATAGTAAAAGTGAAGACACAAACAGTATAACAAGTTAAAATTATGTTCCCTTGCTGTGGAATATGTAAATACATCCCGCCCCCCGCACGGGTCACAATATTACTGTCTTTTAAAATAATTTCATGAAATGCAAATGTGTTTGTTTAACCAGTTTGGGTGGTTGAAAACACTAAGTTCCAAGTACAAGTTTCTTTCCCATAATGGTCGTGGCCCACTAAACCAAAGTGCCAGCCCAGAGTGTTCTGTCGCGCTCTGAAATCACCCCGAGACGGCAGGCACCGCTAGGAGTTCGGAGCCCTGGATTCCAGTTCGGAAGGGGAGGTTAGCGTTGTGACTCACACCTCGCCGGACCTCAGTTTCCTCTCTGTAAAATGAGGCGGGTGTAGTGGCTGAAGGTGGAAGGTGTAACTGATGATATTCTCCGACTCCCTGAGTCGAATCACAGAAGTCCCGGAAAGCACTGTCGGGCTCCCACCTTTCTTGTAAGGACCGGCGAGAAGCAGGCCTGCCGCGGGACCCACGGGTCTCTCTCTCCCCAGGAGAGCTGGTGGGGGACTTCCGGCGTGGGCGGCGCCACCGACGCCAAGTCGCCCTCCTGCCTGCGCAGGCTCGGGCGCCCCAGCGAAACGCTCCGGCCGCCCTCTGCTCCCGGCACTCTGGTTCCCCGGCCGCCCAGGGGGACGCAGTTGGCGGCGACACCGGAGATGGGCGGGTCAGGAAGTGGGGGCGCGGCGGCCAGGAACGGGCCTGGGGCAGTGGAGGGGTTCCGCAACGCGGAGGGCAGGAGACTCCGGGCCGCTGGGGAGCGGGAGGGGCGACCCGGCCTCCGCGGAGACCATGGCGGAGGAAGAAGGTGATTGCCCCGCGGTCTCGCGCGCCAACTGTCGCCGGAGGTCTCGGGAAAGGGGCAGGGGCGCGAGGGGCCCGGAGGCCCGGGCGGGTGGCTGCGGCCCCGCGCGGAGGGCGGGAAAGAGCGGGGCGGCGGGGGGAGGTTTGCGGCGAAATTCACAGGGAGCCGAGTGGGTAGCCCGAAGTTTCATTGACCAAGCGGGAAGCAAAGGTGGAGCTTAAAGTTCGAAATCGGGTAGGAAGAGAAAAAGCTGTGGGTTGAGAGGGAGGGCTAAGACCAGATGATTGATCGGGTGGGGGACATGGTTTGGGTTAGAAGGTGTAGGGACTGAGTGCATATTAGAAAGTGATAGTCTTTAACCAGATGCCCCTCATTGAGCGCGCTCCTTAAAGGTCTGTGGATTCCGACAGATACAGTCACCAGGTGAGAGGAGCCGCGCGCCCAGGGTGTAAAGAGGGGCTTGGGATAGACATGGTAAGGTGAATTGGGAGGGGATGAACAAGCGGAAACTGATGACGGCCAAGTTCTCTTAAACGTTAGGGGGAGAAGGCCTTGGGCGAAGGGGTGTAAGTAGTTTTGGAGGATCAGGAGGCCAGGAGTGTTTGAGGGTGAAAGTGGGTGGGCTGGGAAACCTGTCCATGCTCCTTCAGAGCCAATGCCAAGAAAATTAATTCATTCGGCAGTATTTATTCATAGAAAATGGTAGATATGAGAGAGAAATGGGGAGTTGGGAGGAACTTAGCTACTGATAGATACAGTATTATAGGAAACGTTCATGGCATAGTAACTTCATGATACCCGTACTAGTTTCAGGAACAGGAATACAGGATGGTGCCATTTGGTTGAGCAGTTAGATTTTTTCATTCTGGTGGAAAGCATGACTTTTTACTTGATTGAGTGGAGTTGCGAATGTGGTCTATTTAGATTTAAGCCTTACTGAACCAAGAATGCAAGGGAGACTTTCAAGAATTTAGTGGAAAGTGATTTTAAAAAAATTAATGGTAAGAAGTGTGGCTGCTCTGTGACTTGCTGCTCTGCCCCTGCGCTCATGCTTGCTTCATATTTGCTTCCTCTTCCTTGAGTTTTCAGTGTTAAAACTGATCTAAATTTGAGACACTCTACCTAAAAGCGGCTTCAAAGCCAAAGCTGTTTGTAGTTGGTAAGGAAGAATGTAATTCCATTTGTTGCCTTGGTTTTATCTTGGTTGTAGTATATTATTTTAAACGTTGCTTGATGTTTTTTCCTTTTCTGACTAATTGCAAATCTATGGGGTTAGGTTGATAAGCTAGCTTGTATGTTTCCATGAGCACTTTTGTGCTTCAGTTAAAGCACGAAAAAATTTAATACCACTGTACTAAAAGTCTTTAATATTATACATAGTGCAAAATGAGAAATTGTTTTAGGAGATTATAGTTAACACCCAATTAAAAGATGTAATGTGGAACCAGTTAAAAATACCATAAAGTTTTATGAAATTTGCTTCTGTGATATAAAGTGAAAAATGGTTTTTGGTTGTACAATTATAGATCATCCAAAGCAATGAAATATATCTTATATGGAACAATTAATGGGTTGCAGTTTTGTTAAAATATAGTTTCATGCTTTTTTTTTTTTTTTTTTTTTTGCTGAGGAGGACTGGCCCTGAGCTAACATCTGTTGCCAGTCTTCCTCTTTTTTGCTTGAAGAAGATTCTCCCTGAGCTAACATCTGTGCCAGTCTTCCTCTATTTTGTATGTGAGTCTCCACCTCAGCATGGCTGTTGACAGGTGGTGTAGATCCACATCTGGGAACTGAGCTGGGCTGCTGAAGCAGAGTGTGCCAAACTTAAGCATTAGGCCACAGGGCTGGCCCAAACAAATTTTTTAATTCCATAAACATTTGGGAGCTTCCTGTGTTAGATACTGGGATATAATAGTCAACAGTGAATGAGTCAGTTCTCATCATGATGCTGATGCTAGTAATGATATTTGTAGCAAGCATGTCTGTGTGCCAGGCGTTATTCTGAGTGCTTTACATTTACTTGGCACTCTGCTTTTTTTCAAAACACATGCTATCTTGTATTCAGTGTATTAAAATGAGACTGAATAGTCTATTTTACTTGTATCCTGATGTTCTCTGTATCCCTTTTTGCTTATCATTCACATTTCCACTTGGATCCTCTTTGTCTCACTTTTTCTCTAAGTAAATACTCTTTGGGAATCTCGTCTTCTAAAAAGGTCTTCCTTGATGCTATGGAGGGTCAGGGTGTTTATATTTATGCTTCCTGAAAGAAATGTTAGAGCAAAGAAAGAAGTGACAACTTTGAGAAGAGCTGTATTAACTTCACTTGGAAATTGCTAGGTATGGTCTGCATGGACATTTGCAAGCCTGTTTGTAGCCTGACTAACAATCTCATGTGATGATCACTGGTCCGGAGACTGAAATAGCAGGTTATTTTTGTAGCTATGTTATGTTCATTTAGTTTGACTTTTTCTTTACAATGCTAAAGATATAGGATAGTGAAACAGAAACTTGAATGCTGTTCCAGAGCTTTCCTATCGAAATTAATAATCTAGCTTGTCCACCGCTTTGGCCTTCACTGCTTATCCACGTAGACAGAGAGTCCTGACTTTGTTTATCAGTTGTGAAGTTTAAGATCAATAAAGGAAATGAGGTGAAATTTGCATCCGTGTTTTGTTTCTTGGTGACAGGCAAAAAACTAATTTTGGGGACAAGATTGAAGAAATTGGCCAAAATGAATACTGTATTTCCCAAGGTGTACTTTTTTGCTCCCACAGTTTAATGCCACTGAAATGGGCATGTCTTAAATTCAGTGTATGAATTTAATATAGTAGTGTTTTTTTTCCCTAAAGAACTGTTATTAAATAGTATCTTAAAATGTGTGGCATCTTAAAATCAAGAAAATATTACAAATCCTTTATAGATTATTTATTTGTATGGTCCTTTGTCATTGCTAATATAAATTCTTGAGAGATGACTTAAGATTTGTATACTCCATAAATTATTTGGGGATCTGTGCAAAATTTTTGTGTAAATTGTACTTTTATAAATAAAATCCATTTATATGCACAGAGAACACTTTATTAAAGTCCCTGTAAAGTGATTCATTTTATAAAGAAATTTTTTAAAAAGAAAAATGATAGCTTTTTATAAAGAACACTTTTTATGTGAATATTCCCTTCCCAATTTATCTTTATCTTAAATGTGTGCTTTTAGACTCTAATAAAAGAGACCTATCTAACCCAGTGGTCACATACATTTGTTAACTACCTCAATAAATCTATTAACTTGATTGCTAAAATTATCCAAGTCATTCTTTTCTTTTTTTTTTTTTTTGAGGAAGATTAGCCCTGAGCTAACTACTGCCAGTCCTCCTCTTTTTGCTGAGGAAGGCTGGCCCTGAGCTAACATCGTGCTCATCTTCCTCTACTTTATACGTGGGACGCCTACCACAGCATGGCGTGCCAAGCGGTGCCATGTCCGCACCTGGGATCCGAACTGGCGAACCCCGGGCCACCGAGAAGCCGAACGTGCGCACTTAACCGCTGCCCACCAGGCTGGACCCCCAAGTCATTTTTTTCAAAAATCCAATTCTATTCATGTTTAATCATGCATGTGTAACTATTTTTTTTTTTTAAGATTTTATTTTTCCTTTGTCTCCCCAAAGACCCCTGGTACATAGTTGTGTATTTTCAGTTGTGGGTCCTTCTAGTTGTGGTGTGTGGGATGCCTCCTCAGCATGGCCTGATGAGGAGTGCCATGTCCGTGCTCAGGATCCCAACTGGTGAAACCCTGGGCCACTGAAGGGGATCGTGGAAACTTAACCACTCGGCCACGGGGCCAGCCCCGCATGTGTAACTATTAAGTACTCTTCTTGTGGTTATATTTTTTTGTTTGTGTTCTTTTTTAATAAAATTAAAAATAATAACTTGTATCTGAAGACTTTATTTGGCTTTACATAAATCTTCGTTCTTGTTGACAGCTTCTAATTTTTTCTTTAACCCATAGCAGGGGAAAATTAAAAGAGCATCATGAAGAAAGAATATAATAATATTTATTAGTTGACCCAGATTTGCATGCAAAAATACTTAAAATCTACAGTATGGCTTTTCTAATAACAACGTCATTTTCTAATGTATTCTTTGGCTTCACTAGTTAACATGACTATGAAATAAATGATAGTATAGAAATGGTTAAAAATTAGGCTAGTCAGACTGAATCCACTAAACGTACAGTAGTTTTATTCTCACTAGGCCAGCGTTTAAAAATATTTTTGCAAGCATGAATTTCCTTTCAAGCTATTTAAAAATATTTATTGTATTCATTTTGCACAGTAAAGTTAGAGAACCATCCATTTGATCATCAGTAACAGTAGCTGATTCCCTTCTCCTCTTTTGACTCTTCTTTTTAGGCTGATATTTCATAGACTAAAGTCATTACTAAGAGAAAAGAAAAAATCTCTCCTCTGCTTCTGTAAGGAGGAGATAAATTCTTGTACCACCTTATAAACTTGACAGGACATTGTGTACCTGCATGACAGTCATAGTCTACCCCATAAGATAATTAATTCTAGAGAGGAAAAGTAGTTAAGTTGAATATAGTAAATTCCTATTTAATTTGGAATTTAGTTTACTTGTATTGAGGTACTTTCTGTATTACATTTTTTTTATCGGATATAGAAAGGGTATCTAATATTGGGGAATTTTCTGAGAGCTTCCCAAATATAGGGATATTTATAGATTCAGCTTATCTTCTAATATGTAAATCTATGATTGTTGAACGGTAATGATACCATGGCATTGTGAAATTCTACAGAACTTTCAGGATTATTAAAAAACTGAAGTATAGTTTTATGACTAATGTATTTTATTATATTGTGATTTTTAAAAAATTGTTAATCCATGAATGATACATATGATATTCTCAGGTAATGAAGATAATAAGCTAATTTATTAAATAATACTTTGTCCCCCGATAATTCTGGAAAAGAGTTTACTTATTTTGGGATAGTTTGAAAATAACATTGTCTCAGGAGAAGAGCTCGTTGGTTTATCAGTAGGACTCTGAAAGCACTGGTTGGAGGTTTAGCCTATATTGTCTTTGTCTGTAGGAAAGACAGTTTTGTAGGAAGTGCTAAAATAATTATGAAAAAATTATCTTTGGTACTAATTGGTCTCCATGTTACTTTTGTCTTAGTATAATAAAAGTTAATCATTTTGGGATACAGACAGAATAATTTGGTACACACGCTGCAATAACTTCTCAAATATTTTAAGGAGCAGTTATAGAACTACGCCAAAGAAAAAAGCCAAAGTCTTCGGAAAATAAAGAATCTGCCAAAGAAGAGAAAATCAATGACACTCCAATTCCTGAAAGAGCTCCAAAATGTAAGTTAGATAGATTTGGAGTTTTTGTGCTACTACAAAAATAGTTATGCTAGGTAATATATTTTATATTAATGTTTTAAATGAGTAAACATATTTTGTGATTAAGTATGTGGTGCTATTGGTCAACTTTCATTAGGTTTTGCTGTAGGAAAATCCCTAAATCTCACTGGCTTACAACAAACATTTATTTCTGATTAACATTACATGTTGTGGCTACAGGTTGGCTGATGTAGCTTCATGTGTCATAAAGCAACAACCCCTATTTGGGACATGCTTTCTTGTGGCAGAGGAAAAGAGCAGGAGAGCAGGCAGAATCAGGCATTGCCTCCTAAAGTTTCTGCTGAATTGACACACTGTCACTTGTACGCACATCGTGTTGACCAAAGCAAGGCGTATAATCAATCTACACATGGGATGGAGAAGTATACTCTTACTACAGGGAAGTATTGTAAGTCACATGGTAGTGGGCAGGGATGAGTAATCTTTCTATAGGAAAGGAAACAAAACTTGGGAATAATAATAACAGTCTACCACATTCTGTCCTTTTGGTCATAAATATTTACTTCTCTCCCTCAGACAAAATATACTTGCTACCTCCCCCACCCCAAGGAAGATGCCCAGTTTTATCCAGTCATGGCATCAGTCTTGAAGCCCAAGGTTTTTTTTATCTACGTGAGGGATAGCTATGACTCATTCTGATCCATTCTGATCGTTTTAGTTCTGACTTATGAACTAAAAAGACAAGTTATCTGCTCTGTGTCACGGGAGCCCGAGACCACCCCCATCTTTTCAGATTAGCTAGAAGGACTTGCAGGTCTCACAATATAGTTGTATTCACAGCTATGATTTATTACAGTGAACAGTGTAAAAATCAGCAAAGGGAAAAGGCCTGTGGATTGAAGTTCACAAGAAACTAGGCAAAGCTTCCAAGATTCCTCTCCCAGTGGAGTCACACAGGACGTGCTTTATTCCTTCAGCATCAAATTGTGACATTTGTTGTTTTGTCTACCAAGGAAGCTATAGTGACTCTGCTTAGGGTTTTTATTGGCAGCTGGTCATGTGCACTCTGCCTACCACATACCAAAATTCTAGACTCCCAAAAGGAAAGCAGTCAACATGAACCACATTGTCTGTACAAGCAAGTTAGGTACAGTAAGCTACTCTTATCAGTTAGAGAATGGTGGGAACCCTCGTGCAAACCAAGTTCCCAGATGCCAGCCAAGAGCAAGAAAGAGCAGAAAGGCAAGCAGGCCTTTCTTAACAAATCAGTTGCAGGCCTGCTATGCTAACTCTTTTTTCTGCATATGCCTCCTCTCCCATTGTACATTGTTGGACAGGGACAGGATAACCAAAATAAATGCTTCCATTCAGAAAGAGGAAGAGTGAGAGACATACATTAGCCACTGGTCCATAGCAATTCTGAAATCTGACTAGATAAATATGCAGTCTCCTTACTCTGGGGTAGAGAATGTTTCTTGATTAGGCCCCAGTTGTTTGCCTTTGGAGTAGCTTCCTAGTTCATTGTTCATGGTCCTTGGCTCCACCCTCTGGAGATCCTTCCTTTTCCATATTCTTCTAAACCATATCTGAAGATGGCTTTGGAGAATATGCCATCTTTAGGAGCTGAACAGCTTTCTCAAATTGCTTCCTGCCCATAGAGAGATGAGGGCCCATTTATGTATGTTTGCTCAAATAAGATAACACATTGGGGTCATCTACAGACCTAGTTCAGGGGCTAGCAGCAAGAAAACGTTTTGGAAGCTGGAAAAATAATAATCCGTATTGTACAGTCACAAAACATTTTATGAAACTATTTCCTGTGAATAGTTGCAATTTTAATTTTTTTTTTTAAGATTGGCACCTGAGCTAACACCATTGCCAATCTTTTTTTTTTTTTCTTTTCCCCAAAGCCCCCCAGTACATAGTTGAATATTCTAGTTGTAGATCCTTCTGGTTGTGGTATGTGGGATGCCACCTCAGCATGGCCTGATGAGCAGTGCCGTGTCCGTGCCCAGGATCTGAACCAGTGAAACCCTGGGCCGCTGAAGCAGAGCATGGGAACGTAACCACTCGGCCACGGGGCCAGCCCCATTAATACTAATTTTTTATTATTTTACGTAACAAGATTACAAAACAGAATGTTCTCTAGAGTGACTTAGTTATCAGCTGCATTTGATAACAGGAAAGAACTGAATTTAGGACAGAATTGGCCTATTTGCAAGCAGGAATGAAGAGGGAGATAGAGAATCCTAAACTTATGAGACTTGTTGAAGTTAGAACTATTTATTTTTTTCAACCAGTAAAAAATAAAATAAATACTTTGAGTAACAAAGGCTGATTAAGATGAATCCTCAGAGCAATGACCAAATCAAAGGGCAAGGCTGTCAGCATGGTTTGTAAAAATGTGTGAATGGATCAAGGTAGTTGCTGGTAAGTCCTTTCAGCTGGACAAAGTTCTCAGGGAAAAGAGACAAAGGGTGCAGTCCCACAGAAGCTTGATAAGCTCAAAATACATGTAATTAAATCTTTGAGAGAGGCATATCTAGAAGAAAAAGTTGTGAGTGTAGTTGTTAGAATGTGCAGCTGACTGGAATCAATTAGGTAAAAGCCAACAAAATTGTTCTTTCCTTTGCAAAACTGAGTGATTGAATTTTAAAAAATTAATGTATAATTAACATATAATAAAATGCACAGAATCTTGTGTTTATTTAAATAAGTTTTAACACTTGAATACAGCTGAAATAGGATACAAAATGTTTCCCAGACAGCTCCTTTGTATGTTTCCAGAAAGTAGATTTGCCTTGTACCCCCTAAGACAACTACTCTTCTGATATTTTTCAATATTGACTGTTTAACTTTACATGCGTTAGAATTCCATATAAATGGAATCATACAACATGTATGCCTTTGTATCTGGATTCTTTCACTTAGCTCAGTATGTTGTCCTTTGAAAATATGATCATTTGAGATTCATGGTGCTATAAGTATTTAACCCTTCTCTTCTTGTTGAGTAGTTTCTAGTATTTAGTTATTATGAATAAGGCTGCTATGAATATACTTGTACACATCTTTTTGTGGACATTGTTTTTATTTCTCTTAGGTAAGCACCTAGGAGAATTGTTGGCTGAGCTTTTGAGAGATTTTATTGTTCCCTTTTATTGTTCCCAAATGTTTGCCCTCTCAATTAAAAGTGGATTATATATCACTTCCCACTGGCGTGTGATTTGGGTGCCTCTTCCCTTGCCTATTGTCAGGCTTACCATGTGACTTACCTGGGCCAGTGGAATGAGTGGAAGAAGCAGTGTACTAGTTCTGACCAGAAACTTATAGAGGCGTTGTATGCTTCTGCCTGTTCTCCTTTTCTTTGCCTCTCATGAGAAGAGCATGTCCCAAACAGGGACTGATCACAATCTGGAACTCTGAAGAAGGTATATGGAGAAGAGCCACAGCTAATCTGAAGTTTAGAATTGGGTGGAGAGTTTCCCACAAGTAACATGAGTGAGAAATAAACCTTGTTTTGTTAAGCCACTGATAGTTTGAGGCCACTTTTTTATCACAGCAAAGCTGACTAATAGAGTGGTCATTTAAAACATTTTGGAAAATACAATATAAAAAAGATAATAAACAATCCAGAGATTACTATAAAATAGTATTTTCTCCCTAATTGCAAAAATTATTTCAGGGTAGAAAATGTAGGACATAGAGAAAAGTATAATAAAAATAAGATGTATGAATAATTCCAGTAGATATATTACTCTTAAAATTTTGGCAAGTATTGCTTTCAGTGTACTTACATTTTTCTTTTTCTTCTTTCTCTTATGTAGGGTTCTTTTTTTTTCTTTTTTTGTGTGCATGATTAACATTTTACAAGTGAAGGGGTAACACAGATAACACAGAAGTTATCTGATTAGGCTGGTTTATGACTAATATAACTTAATTAAAAGTCAGGTCCTTTATTTTTCAATTTTCCAATTCAAATGATAATTTTTTAAGACAATAATTTCCAAAGCCTAGAGTTGTTTATTTTCTCCAAAATATATGCACTAATACCAAACGCTGATAGCTTGATTCCATCTTTGACTCTTTACAAACAAACTTTCAAAAACAAAATATTTAGTATTAAGGCAAGGCATTTATATATAGGATTTGGTTGAATATATTTTTTATAATAGCCTCTGATAATTAGGATTAATTTGCCATTATCTAAGACTTAATGAAAAAAAAACAGGAATAGATACGTTTAGAAACTTTGAAGCACTTTTGTCAAACTGCCACCATAGATAAGTTTTCTTATTTGTTTTTTGTAGTTCATATCACGTGAACATTGCTTTAATTAACTATCATAGATTTTTGCAAGTACGCTGCCGTAGCTCAATGGTGGTAGCTAAGATCACTTGCTATGTACCAGGCCAAATGCTTTCTACATGCTATTGGAAACAGTAATTTTAAAGCAATTGCATCATACTCATGCTAATATTTCCTTTATTGGGTAGTGTTTTTCAAGCATTTTGAATATAATTCTTATTAATTTAGTGATATCTAACTAATTAGTCTATTTAATATCTCTACTATGCTATGCAGACTAATATTTATTAAATAATGTTTTGAAAATAGCCAAGATTTTAGGTTAGCTAAACTAGTAAATCAACAATTTGATTTTTATGCATCTGTCAGTAGTTCAGTAATACAACACAGGGCTTTTGCCCCTTAGACCTCTGCTCATGTACTTAATCTTAATAGCTCTGCAGGACTAAATCGTCCTGTGTGTAGAAAATCCAAATGTTTTTTATGTTATTTCATCAAGTAGTTACATATACGTAACAGTTGTATATGGTGTTTTAAATACATAATCATCAAAAGTCATTGAATTGTACACTTTAACTGGCTGTAATTTATGGTAGGTAAATTATTCCTCAGTAAAGAAAAAAATTCCTTGATAAGGAGAAAATCTCAACAGTAATTTGAATTAACCTGTATTTTTTCTTTAGATATTTGGTAGTACGTTCCTTTTATTCCTTTTTTTAAATCAATAGACTTTAATTTTAAAAACGATTTTTGATTTATAGAACTGAACAGATAGGACAGAGTTCCTATGTTACCACCCCCCTACAGATTTCCCTATTATTAACATTTTATGTTAGTATAGTACATTTGTTATAATTAATGAACCAATACTGATACATTATTTTTAACTAAAGTCTATGCTTTATTCAGACTTCCTTAGTTTTTCTCTGATGTCCTTTGTCTGTTCCAGGATCCCATCCAGGAGACCACATTACAGTTGGTCATCATGTCTCCTTAGGCTCCTCTTGGCTGTGAGGAGTTTCTCAGGCTTTCCTTGTTTTTGATGACCTTGACAGTTTTGAGGAGTCCTGGTCAGGTGTATTGTGGGATGCCCCTCTATTGGAATTGGTCTGCTGTTTTTCTCATGATTAGACTGGGGTTATGGGTTTTGGAGAGGAAGACCACAGAGTTAGTCATTTTCATCACATTGTGTTAAGAGTACATACTACTTTTTGGTTACTTTTTCCTTTTTAATAAAAGTCCATAAATATCATCTACATCTGATTACTTTTAATGTGCTTTTTCAGATGTATTATTTCAGCGCTTTGCAAAGATTTTCATTGGCTGTCTTGCAGCAGTTACTAGTGGTATGATGTATGCTCTCTATTTATCAGCTTACCATGAACGGAAATTCTGGTTTTCCAACAGGCAGGTAAGGAGAAAGAATTTTGAGCATGTGAAAGTTGTTTTAGTATATATTTAAGTAATATGTTTTCCGATGAGCCAAAATATATGTGTGATCAGTATAAGGGCTCTCTTATTTACAGCCGTTAGAAACAAAATGGTATAGAAGTTGTTTTGAGAGCACAGTCGCAGTATCAACCTTGAAAAATTTAATAGAATGTATTTCAAATCCATAGAATAGAGACTATGAGGATGCTTTTCTTTGTGCAATTAATTTATCAGGGACTTTTTTTTTCCTGACTTTTCTTTTTTCCTGCTTTTTCTCCCCAAATCCCCCAGTACATAGTTGTGCTATGTGGGACACCACCTCAGCATGGCCAAAGTGAGCTTGCAAACTTAACCACTTGGCCACCCGGCCGGCCCCTATCAGGCACTTTTGATGACAGTGAAATGTTGTGGAATTGAGGCAGCTTTTTAGTAGTTTTGGTAGTTTACATTTCAGAAACAATCTGTGGAAGTTTCAGCATGAGAATAGATTTTCGATTACATAATTGAATGTTTTGGGGGTTTGAAAATGATTAACAGGCATAACAGTATTTATTAAGATGTTGCCACATAGTAGTATGTTTAATGTTTGGTTTTAAAGATTTTATTTTTCCTTTTTTTCCCAAAGCCCCCTGGTACATAGTTGTGTATTTTTAGTTGTGGGTCCTTCTGGTTGTGGCATGTGGGACACCACCTCAGTGTGGCTTGATGAGCAGCACCATGTGTGCGCCCAGGGTCCAAACCAGCGAAACCCTGGGCCGCCAAAATGGAGATGAACTTAACCACTCGGCTGGCCCCTAATGTTTGGTTTTAAATCATGTATATTCCACAGACTCTTTAATCACTATAATTATATTCATAATTCATTTGGCCTTTGAATAAGTTTGTTTTCAGACTTAGCTTCACAATCAGATATAATAGGCAATGGTAAAGTTCACAGTGTTGCCACTTGCCACTAAGGGTTTTCTTTTCTCAGCCCAAACTACTGTTGTTCTTATTTTTGAGCAAGTAGTCAAGCTGACTAAATGTTTCTAAGCCCTTAATATACCTGACAACACCAAAACGTGTAACTGAATAATTACTTACCTGTTTCGATTTGACAAAAGCTGTTACTGGAGCATATCCTGTTTCCTTGAATATGTTATGCAGGTTAACTATTAGTAGTTCTCAACACTGGATGTATGATAGAATCATCTGGGGAGCTTTCAAAAAATAACCTCCCTCACAGATTCTTTTTGTTTTTTCTTTTTTTTTATTGAGTTAATGATAGGTTACAATCTTGTGACATTTCAGTTGTACATTAATGTTTGTCATTCGTGTTGTAGGTGCACCACTTCACCCTTTGTGCCCACCCCCACACCCCACCTTTCCCCTGGTATCCACTAAACTGTTCTCTTAGTCCACATTTTTAAGTTTTTCATATGAGTGGAGTCATACACAGATTATCCTTCTCTAGCTGGCTTATTTCACTTAACAAAATTCCCTCAAGGTCCATCCATGTTATTGCAAATGGAATGATTTTGTTCTGTTTTGCATCTGTCCCTCACAGATTCTTAGGTGGGGGTCTACGGAGTACCTGGGATCAGTATTGCACAGAATATTTCCAGGCAACTTCTGTTGTATAGGCAGAATTGAGAACAACCAAAGATTTGAAAATACAGAAGGCATTCATCAAGAACCTTGTTTTTCAAAGCATTGTATATGAGCCAAGAACATTGGCATCATCTGGGAACTTTTTCAGAATTGCAGATTCTCAGGTCCCATTTTAGAATCAGAATATACATGTTAATAAGATCTCTAGGAGTTTCATGTGCACATTAAATTTTGAGAAGTGCTGATTAAGAGTTTACATCTTTGGGGCTGGCCTTGTGGCACAATGGGTGGGTTCGAACATTCCGCTTCAGCGGCCCAGGGTTTGCTGGTACGGATCCTGGGTGGGAACCTGCACACCGCTTTTCATGCCATGCTGTGGCAGGCGTTACACATATAAAGTAGAGGAAGATGGGCACGATGTTAGCTCAGGGCCAGTCTTCCTCAGCAAAAAGAGGAGGATTGACAACAGATGTTAGCTCAGGGCTAATCTTCCTGAAAAAAAAAAACAACAATTTACATCTTTGAAATCTTAGAAAAAAACAAATGTTTCCATTAATAAAATCATTTTAAGAAAATTTATTTAGATTAATAAGCTCTAAATGAGAAAAATAGGGTTCACTGGTCAAATAAATCTGGAAATGACTTCCTCTTGGAGATTCACAGTGCGTAATGTATACTGAAACTCTGAAAAGTCTTGCAATAAAGAAACCCTTCTTCAATCCAGCCTTTTACATAACTTATTTAATTATACTTTAACTTTCTTCAATCCAGCCTTTTACATAACTTATTTAATTATAGAACTTTTTTTAGGTAATACTCATTTATATCTTAGGAAGTTCTGTTGATCAAACTTTGGGGAAACTGCTCTGATAACCTTGTTTTTGTGTTAATTGATAAATATGCGTGAAAATAAATGAATTTCATTTAAAAATATAGATTTATGAAAGCTTGATTCACAGTGAAAAGCACAAGGTTTTTCAATGTCTTGACTACCTGTATTGTTGGTTCTGTATATCCTAATATTAAGATTTGCTTATATTTCTGGAAGTTCATTTGAAAAGCACTGATTAGGTATCTGCTGCTCTTGAAAAGTACTAATTAAGGGCTTGCTTTTCTGGATACATAGGGAAGTGGAATTGCAATAGAAAATTCTACTTTTGGGGGCTGGCCTGGTGGCACAGCAGTTAAGTTTGCTGGTTCAGATCCCAGGTGCAGACATGGCACCACTTGTCAAGCCATGCTGTGGCAGGTGTCCCACATATAAAGTGGAGGAAGATGGGCACGGATGTAGCTCAGGGCCAGTCTTCCTCAGCAAAAAGAGGAGGATTGGCAGCAGATGTTAGCTGAGGGCTAATCTTCCTCGAAAAAAAATACTACTTTCTTCTTAAACTTTTTGTTATGGAGTTCTAACACCTCAACCATCATTTTTTATTACCTGCCTTACTGTTCTTGTTGTCCTTAGGGCATTTCTTTTCCTTTTCCTTCTAGATTTTCCTTATACAGGAAAACCTGTTTCCTAAATCTTGTTTCCTTATAAGTCATAGGTAAATTACTTAGGAGTTACAATCCATTTTATTTATTTATTGTTTTTTTTGCAGGGGAAAACTCAGCCTAAGCTAACATATGTTACCAGTCTTCTCCTTTTTCTTCCTTTTTTCCCCCCAGATCCCCAGTACATAGTTGTGTATAGTTGTAAGTTCTTCTAGTTCTTCTTTGTGAGCCTCCACCACAGCCTGGCTACTGACAGAAGAGTGGGGTGGTTCTGCGCCCAGGACAGAACCCAGGCCACCAAAGCAGAGTGTGTTGAACTTTAACCGTTGACTATCAAGGCTGGCTCTACAATCCATTTTAAACCTTAGGTGTTTTATTAAAATGATTGTCAGATTATTGAAAAAGTTTAACCTCATTAATTTAGGCACTAGTGATTAAAGGAAAGTTCAAACGTATCTTTGAATAAAAGGATAAATAAATAGTATTAATCTAGAAGATGAGGAGAGAGAAGGAAGAATGCAGTTGAAATTTAGCACACTGCTATTTAAGTAATCATTTCATTTTCTTTTAGGAGCTGGAACGGGAAATCACATTTCAAGGTGACAGTGCCATTTATTACTCTTATTATAAAGATATGTTAAAGGCACCTTCGTTTGAAAGAGGTATGATAGCCACATTCGTATTTTTTCTTCTTTTTCTCCCCAGAGCCCCCCAGTACCTAGTTGTATATCATAGCTGTGGTCCTGCTGTCTGTGCTCTGTGGGACGCCGCCTCAGCATGACTTGATGAGCAGTGCCATGTCCACAGCCACGATTTGAACTGGCGAACCCTGGGCCACTGAAGCAGAGCTTGCAAACTTAACCACTTGCCCACAGGGCTGGCCCCCACATTTGTATTTTTAATAACAATATTTTTCTAAAATAAAACTGATCTTTTGGGAGCCCATGATTGAGGAGATTTGTCTCAGAATATAGGTATTGTTTTTTCTTGTACTTAATAAAAAAATTGGAAAAATGAGGCACAGAATATTATATCTTGAGATCTTTCTTGATAATGATTTAAAATATTTAATGACCTGAATGACATGTTTAATTATTATAAAAGCAGGATAAATAATCTGGAGAAAAATCTTTCTGTCTTTAGGTGTTTATGAACTGACACACAATAACAAAACTGTATCTCTGAAGACTATAAATGCAGTGCAGCAAATGTCTCTCTATCCAGAACTTATTGCCAGCGTTTTGTATCAAGCAACTGGTAGCAATGTATGTGTTTTTCTTTTGACTTTAATATTTATTTATTCACATATTTATGAATCCTCAAAATTATTTAATGTCATCCTATTATCTCCTCTCTCTCTTTTTTTCTTCCCATTAGGAGATTATTGAGCCAGTGTATTTCTATATTGGCATTGTTTTTGGATTGCAAGGAATATATGTTACTGCTTTATTTGTTACAAGTTGGCTTATGAGTGGAACATGGCTAGCAGGAATGCTAACGGTTGCATGGTTCATTATTAACAGGTAAGAAAGATATTTTTAATTAAGTTTTACAATGTTTTGTGGCTTTTGTATTCAGTTCTAAAAATAACCCCTCTTCCCCCACCCAGTATTCCACACCCTAAACCACATCTGTGACTATGGTGAGGTATCATTCCTGTGATTATGTTATATGGCACAGTTGACCTTAATGTAGGAAAATTAGATGGTGGGGCTGATCTAATCGTGTGAGCCCTTAAAAGTGGAGAGCCTTCTCCAACTGGTGCAGGAGGGGAAGTCAGAGATACTCAAAGCATGAGAAGGATTTACTGTGCCGTTACTGGATTGAAATGAGGAGGAAATGAATTCTGCCAACAGCCAGTGAGCTTGTAAAAGGACTGCAGGCCCCCAGATGAGAACTGCAGCCCTGGCTGATGCTTTGCTTTTAGCTTAGGGAGACCCTGAGCAGACAGTCCACCCAGCTGTGCTGTGTTTGTGAGCTAATAAATTTGTGTTGTTTTAAGCCACTACATTTGTGGTCATTTGTCATGCAACAATTGAAAAATATTACACCCATCTTGTCTCTCTTTTTGCAGATGTAGCAACATTATCATATATGAATAAACCTCCTTTCCTCTTTTATTTAACATTGATGACATAGCTTCATGAATAGAAGGAAGAGGCATCAGATACATCATTAAGTTAACTACCACAGACAAGGATTCTGTGTTAATCTATGACAGTGTGCTTTGAATTAATAAACCCGTCCCTTTTGGTGACCAGAGCAGCCTCAGTTCTTTAATAGCAAGTAAATGGAGAGTAGGAGTGGGGCTTCTTTGAAATGGAGGGCTAATTTGAGACATGTCAAAAATTTTCTTGTCATTGGTCAGTTTCAAAAAGTTATTTTTTGAATGATGAATATTCTCCTTCCTCTCCATAGCACTTTTTTGCCTAAAACACTTAACATGATTAAATTTTTTAAAATGAAATTTTTCTTCTGTTACACATTTCTTTCTACAATTTCCAAATGAAAAATATGATACCCTTAAGTTATTGAGATTCAGCATTAAGGGCTGTATCTCTTGTTGGGCTTTGTTTATATTGAGTCACATGCTGGCAACAATTTTATATAAAGGATTTTTTAAGTTTTCCTTAGAAGTTTTCGAATATAGCTATCCAGGTTTATGGGTTAAGTGTATTTCTTCTTATAAATACAGGGATGAACCAAACTTTATTATTACAAAAGCAATGGATGTATGTTGTAGAAAATTAAAACCAGCAACAATAAAATAATAACTTCACATTTCCACCACCTAGAGATCACTCAGCATTTTTTAGACCTTGGTGCCTATTCTTTTGGATCTTTTTCTATGTGAATGTCTGTGTGTATGTGTATGCGTGTATGTATTTGTATATGTATTTTTTTTGCCAAAATGTGGTGTATTGCACATGCTGTTTTTTGTGCTGTTTTCTTTATTTGCCAGTCTCTGCCTTTCCATTTTGACAACTTTTTATCTTATCTAATACTCAATCCATATTTTCCTCTGTTGACCCTAAAATAGCCTATTTAGCTGGTTTATCCAAACCAGTATTTAATTCAAGACCACATATTGCATCTGATTATTATATTCCCTAATTCTCTTTAACTATAACGTTGTCCTTTTTTTATGACAACGGTTTGTTGAAGGGACTGAGTCAGTTGTCCTACAGAATGTCCCGCTGTATGAATTTCTCTTGTTGCTTCTTTGTGGTGTCATCTACCTTTTTCCTCTATTTCTTGTGTTTCTATAAGTTGGAAGTTGTATCTAAAAGCTTAATGGGTTCAAGATAAGCAACTCTGGTTTGAGTACATCAATGATAATATGTTTTCATGTTCTATGCCATTAGAAGTTACGTGGTATTTATTTGGCCTACCCCTAGTGAAGCTGAGACGTACTGCTCGTTTGAGGGGTGATGGTCTGATCTCTCCATTGAATAGTTGTGTTTTCCTCTTTTGACTAGAAAATAATCTGTGTGGTGTTTTGGGGCACCCAATGAATGTCCTTTTCCCTGATAACCATTTACCTAACAGTTGTAACTCCAGTTGATAATCTTTGCTGAAATTAATAATTTCATTAGGGTTTATAAAATTATATTTTTCTATTTTCAATAGCTACATTCTTCATTCTTCAAGAGTATAATTTTTCTTTAGCCAGGGTTCTTTGTTTATCTTTAAATTCACCTACTATTAGAAAGTCAGGACAAATGCTTAATTTCACTTTAATTACCAATTTTCAAGTAAGATTGTTTTAATAGTTGTCTCAGATAGTGATAGAAAACTTTGTCGTGTGTTCTCTTTTTTAATATCTTTCTCTACTTAATGGATTTTCATTGATTTAGTAGGACTAAATCCTTTACCATCATTATTCTTTTTGTTGCTCAAATTGTCACAATTTTGGTCAATAGGAATCCTTTCAGGCTGGCTTCTGAGTTCTTTTGACACAAATTCATTCATCTTTGAAAGCTTTCTTGTTTTCTGGCTCATCAGGCTCACCTTGTATATTCTCTGAAAGATTTGGAATTAGCCGTTTCTCTATGGAGCTTTGGTTCCTTTTAGTATAGAATAGTATTAAAGAATTGGTATGGATGCTGAGGGCGGCTAAGATGATTTCTTATTATGTCAGAAAGTGCCTGTTAGAGAATATTTTAAGTTGACATAATACTTTTCTAAAATTCTGTTGGGATTCATTGTTGGAAATTTAATAGGACACTCAGAGAATGTTATTTTAGTACTTATAGACTAGGTCTTGCTTTTGAGAGTGAAATGGTATTTAGTATAAAACAAGCATTATTTTATAATGCATCACTTGATTATGTGATGTATTAGTTATTGCTGCATAACAAGTCACCCCAAAACTTAACAACTGAAAACCATAGATGTTATCTCAAACAATTTCTGAAGGTCAGGAATCCAGAGTGGCTTAGCTGGGTGGTTCTGGTTCAGGGCTTCTTATGAGGTTACAGTCAAGAGTTGGTTGGGGCTACAGACGTCTAAAAGCTTGATGGCCCTGGACCATTTACTTCCAATCTCACTCACGTGGCTGTTTACAAGAAGCCTTGGTTCCTTGCTGGTTTTTGACCTAGAAGGCCTGAGTTTCTTATCACTCTCCATAGGGCTGCTCGCATCTTGGCTGCTGGCTTCCTTTATAGTGAGTGATCCGAGAGTGTAGAGTGAGTGCCATAGTAGAAGCCAGATATATTTTAGGACCTAATCTCAGAAATGATATTACATCGCTCCGCCGTATTCTGTTGGTCACAGACTAACTGTAGTGCAGTGTAGGAAGTGACTACAGAGGGTGTTAATGCCAGGAGGCAGGGATCATTGTGGACCATCTTGGAGGCTGACTACCACATGCAATGAACTTTTGATACTCATTCCGTTTAATCCCCAGACTTTTCTTTGTCAGAAATTCAAAGAGGAAGCCCAGGCAACTTTTCCCTGTAAAAATAACAGTGTTAAAGAATAATAAGACCTTCTGTCAAATAGAATATTTTAGAGATCTTAGTGAGAATTGTGAGTAAATTGCCTTATTTAATGACAAAGTATATCCTAGGTAGCTGGAGTAAGAATTAGAAAAATTAACCTGATGTATTCTGCTAAAATGCATCTTTTGGCAATTGAAACATTCTTAGCAAGCAGTTTTTTTCATGTGTGTATTTTGCATTTTGATATCTTAAACTGCAAAATATATTTTAATGCTGTGAAAGAATATGCTCTCCTTTTTATTCATCAGCTTTAGAATTTATATATGATTGCCTAGAAAAGTATAAAAATATATTAGTCATTCCATTACATTATGATTATTAGTAGTGTTCTTAATGGTATTTTGTGTTACTTATTACTTAACATCAGAGAGAGAAAGCAGAATAATAACATAGCTCCTGTTTGTTCAAACTGAAGGATGTAGGCATACAGAAAATTCAAGAAAATTTCAGGAAACAGCACTGTACAGACAGTAGTGGAGGGAAAAATCAGAGGCAAATGATTCCTTTAGAACAGACTTATTAGCAAAACGGGCTAACCTGAGCCTAGGCTTCACATATAAACAATACAGAAATTGCTCTTGGCCCCCACTGATCTTCTCATCTACAAATAAATACCTGAGTATCACTTTCACTGGAAACATCTTTGTATTTGAAGAGCAAAGAAAATATCTGATTAAAAGTCTATATTAAATTTAATCTTTGGCAAAAAAGAAAAGAGACTGTGTACACTGATAATCATAAAGAGGTAAGATGCAAGGAATGCACATGTCCCAGATGTACAAGTAACAGAAAGTAAGGGTAACCATGATGCTGGTTCTGTTCTGATCATATTGGTATACTCAGGATGCTCGTGGAAGTGTGAGTTTTTTCAATTTTAGGTGCTAGTTTTTTCCAGGAATTCCATTTTATTCCAAGGAAGTAATCCCGAAAAGAAGGAAAGAGTTCACTACTTGAACTTATTTATTATAGTATTAGTATTTGTAATAATATGAAAAATTAATTGACCTAAATAGAGAGTGGTTAGACGAGGGGCCGGCCCCGTGCCCGAGTGGTTAAGTTCATGCGCTCCACTGCCATGGCCCAGGGTTTTGCCGGTTCGGATCCTGGGCGCAGACATGGCACCGCTCATCAGGCCATGTTGAGGTTGCGTCCCACATGCCACAACTAGAGGGACCTGCAACTAATATATACAAGTATGTACGGGGGAGGTTTGGGGAGATAAAGCAGGAAAAAAAACAAAGAAGATTGGCAACGGTTGTTACCTCAGGTGCCAATCTTTAAAAAAAAATAGAGAGAGCGGTTAGGTAAGTTGTACTACATCAATACAAGGGAACATGCAGCCATTAGGTAGTGTATTGTGTAGGTGTTTTTCAACTTTCACACATTGTACATTGATGTGCCAAACTGTCTTACATATGTAATCTAACTCAGTGTTTCACAAACTTCAGCTATATATGCTTAAAACTTAATTCTCATGGGTTCTGTGTGTTGACTTAATTTGAATTATATTGCTACTTAAATATAAAACATAAAATAGGTAAAGCTCCTCATGCTTAAAAGCACTTATGTTACTATTGAAATCAATATAGTAATGAAATAACAAAACAGTAAAATATTAACTGAAAATATTAATTTAATGTGAAAAATTATGTTCTCCTGAAGCCAAAGTTCTACTCTCAGCTTAAGTATGGTGCCAGTCCAGCAGATTCTTTTGAGTATGACAAACCTACACAGCTGAGTCCCATGAGATGACTCAGTTCTCATCGTGTTACTCTGTTCAGTCCACTCTGAAATCTTTTTTTACCATAGTGATCAGGACATCATTTTGTTTTTGTTTGGCAATACATCATTTAGTATTAAGACCATCTCATACTTTCTGATTAGCCCAAGCCAATTGAAGTAGTACTATGTTACCAACCAGATTGTTAACACAAACATGGAAAGTGAGTCCTGAAATCTTTCGGCCATAGTAAGTTACAAGGTAGTCATCCAGGTGATCCAGACTATGCTTATATTATGGTGTGTTTAAAATTAAAACACAAAATTAAACTCAGAGCTTGCTGATCTCTGTGAATGTATCTGCAGGTCTATGAACCCCAATGGATTTAACTAATTATTAGTTTGAACTGCTGGTTTATGCTGCTATCTGCTAGACTGCCACTGTGGAGAAAAAGTGGGTCTTATTTGATTTTGTCATATCCCTCTGTTAGCCTTCTGGTTCTCACTACCATCAAGGATGGCGAGGGGAAGAGAGTGAGTAGCACAGGTGTTCAGTAGCAGAAGGTAGCAATGAGGAGGTTTGTCCAGGTATAGAGAAGAACTGGCAGAGATCCTGCTCAGTTTGTGCTGCAGTAACTCGAAGAGGAGGATCCCTTTATCCCTTCTCCAAACAGTGTTTCTGGTGCAGTTTTAAAGATTTCACTGCACTAATCAGTGAGTTGGGTAGAGGTGGTGAGTGAACCTTTAGAATGGGGATTGCCAGGTTCAGTTTCCCAATTCTGGGCTGATGGAGTGGTTGGCACAGTTCTGAATTGAGAATAGACATCCTCTCCTTCCTCCCCACTGCCTATCTTAACGACATGTGAATCTCTTTTTTTGTCTTTTAGGAAGTTAACTTTTGCAACAGTTTTTCAGAAATAGTATTGTATGATAATAGCTAGCCTTTAGAGTACATGATGTTCAATAAATGGTATTAGAACAACTAAATGTGGAAAATAAATACTTATTGTGCACATACTAAAATAAATTCCAAATGGATTAAAGAAGTCAAAGTAAACAGTGAAACCAAAGATTACTATACAAAAGCATTGGTTCATATATTTTAAAACTGTAATAGGTAAAGTTGAAAACAATTTAAACATATAACAATAGGAAATTGGTTAGATTATGATAGATCTATACAATGGTGTGCCATAACCATTCAATGTTCTTGAAGTATATTTATTGGCATATATATTATGGAAAGATGCTCATAATACGTTGTTAAGTAAAAAATAGTTTGTTAGAAAATTGTGAAAGGGCTAAGCTCTAATACTGTTCAGTAGGTTCTAGACACTGTGCTAAGTTCTTTATAGCTTTTATTTCATTTGATCTTCACATATGATCCTGTTTTTAATATATATATATTCAATTACGTATACATTCATAGAAGACAGGTTTTCTTCTAATACTTTGTAACAGTTTTATTGAGGTATAATTGATGTAAAATAAGATGTACATATTTAGAGTGTACCATTCAGTCAATTTAGGCATTTAGACACATTCGTGAAACCATCAACAAAATTAATATAAACATCTATCACCCCCAAAAGTTTCCTTGTGCCCGTTGGGAATCCTTCCCTCTTTCCTCTTCTTACCCCACTTCTAGTTCTGTCCCACTGTCCCCAGGAAACCAATGATCTGTTTTCTGTCACTAAACGTGAGTTTGCATTTTCTAGAATTCTATAAAATGTGGTCATGTAGCATGTACTTTTTGGTCTGGCTTTTTGTCACTCAGCATAATTATTTTGAGATTCAGGCATGTTGGATATATCAGTAGTTCATTCCTTTCTTTTGCTAAATAGTATCCTATATTATGGCTGTACCACAATTTGAATTAAATTGTATGCAAGCATGTCCATCTCCATTACTTAGAAGAGTTATGCAGCAATTTTCAGAAAGTTTTTAAAGCAATAGCACCTTTGTTTCTTGTGTGGAAAATAGCCATTGAGTGTACAAGATCCAAATTTAATGGTTGTTGGAAAGGTAGTCCCATTGTAGTTTGAGGATATGCACTGGAGACAGCAGGCTCTCCATGAAAGTGGATTGAGGAGACTCTTAGGAGGAGCCTAGGAAGACATTCTGTATTTGTGATTCTGGGACTTATCAAAGATCTCTAGATATATCACAGAAAGGACTACTGTAATGTTAATTCTGGGCAACCTGCTGATTGAAAAGACTTACCTGGGTGTTAGAAGATATGCATTGTAATCCTAGATTATGCCATCTACTAGCTATATGACTTGATTAAGTCACATCACCTCTCTGAGCTTCATATTCCTTATATGAGGGGGGTAAGGACTTTGGATCTGCCAGTCCTGCTAATCATGTAGTGTACATTGTCCTCTGGAGAAGGTTAGCCACCTCATTAAGGGAAGGAGAGTGCGAGCTGAACTCAGTGTACTCTGCAACAAGCTGTGTGCTGTAGCCTGAGGCTGTGTCTGCCCAGAACAGGGATGCCTTTTTCAAATTCTCACAGAGGCCCATCTATTCATCAAGCAGTGCGCAGCAGCTCTGAGTCTTCCTGGGTGGGAGGTAAGAGGAGGCCCGTGAGACACTATTAATTTGCTCACAGACGCTGTATATGCAGTGGTGGCTCTGTCTATGCCTGTCTCACAGGATTGTTATGGAGAACAATGAGATATGTGTGAAAGTGCTTTGAAAAGTACAGTGTTACAAATACAATGTCTTGCTATTTTGCTGTTCATCTGTGGTTTATTTTAGGGTAGATACAACAAGAATTGAATACTCCATTCCTTTAAGAGAAAACTGGGCACTACCATATTTTGCATGTCAAGTTGCTGCACTTACAGGCTATTTAAAAAGCAACTTAAATACTTATGGAGAGGTAAGATACAAATTTATTTGTCACAATGAATTCTGATGTATTGCAAATGTGGTACATAATTTTAAAGCTAACCATATTAAGAGTTATGTTCAAGGAAGCCTAGTAACTATATAATAAAGGATATAGTTAAGTAGTCTTGTTACAGCACTGGTACTCTGTAATCTGACAGTTAATTATTTCTAAGTGAAAGGAGATGTTACATTGTTTTAATGCAGTAACTTGACAAATATATGAAGAATATCTTATTTTGAAAATTCTCATAATTTTGCCATTTCTATCACTTCTGAAACACTGATGGCCTTTAGTCATCATAAGTTAAAGAAATATTAATGAAGATGTAAGAAGTGACTACAGTAACAGCAGTGTTAACTTTTCTGGTAGCACTGCATATTTTCTGTTTACCCTTATGTTTTCTGTGACTGAGGTATGGGTAGGTTAGTGAGTTTCAGGAGACTGTCCCATATAGTTTAGATTCTTACTTTTTTTGTTGTTGGTGTTGCCATAAACCCTTTTGGCAATCAGATGAAGCTTACAGACTCTGTCTCAGAATAATTATTTTAAATGCATAACATAAAATAAATGCAATTATAAAGACAACCAGTTATATTGAAGTTGACTGAAATGTAGAAATCCTTTGAGAGTCTGCCTATCTTGGGTTAAGAATTCCTGGCTGGAAAAAGAGACGATAGGGACCAAGGAAAGGCTTCTATTAAAACTAGTTGGCTAGGAAATAAGATGCACTTATGTTCCTTTTTGAAATCTCTGAAAAATATACTGTTCTCTCCTCCTTTCAGTGATGACAACTGTCCCAAGCATAGCAAACTTTTTATTTCGTTTTTTATAATTCTAGGTTTCCTTTTTTATGTAAAATAACATGAACACATTCCAGATTTGTAGTTTTCCTTCTGTTGTGTTTGTATAAAGAGCTTTCTGAGCAAGAATATTTTCTGCAATAGTCAGGGAGTCTATGATGAGTGTTCTCCTGTTAGATTATGCAGCCTTCTTCAAGAGAAGGATAGTTCTTCAATTTTTGAATAAAGGATTTAATATAGCAAAATGAACTGCCTAAGCTTCTTTGTATTTACCATTATTTTGAACTAAAATGGAATCCCTAAGAAAGGTTTAATCAAGTATCTTTTTAATAAAATTATTATTTTTTATTTTAAAAGAAGGAATTTTGGAAAAGGTAGTGTCGAGTGTAAAATTATTTTTTCCCTTCTATACCACATTTGATATTTTTGTGAGTATCTTTTTTCATTGCTATGTTATGTATTTATTCTTTGTAATTTTTTTTAAAGATTTTATTTTCCCTTTTTTCCCCAAAGCTCCCCAGTACATAGTTGTATATTTTTAGTTGTGGGTCCTTCTAGTTGTCTAATTTTTTTATTCTAACTTTTTTTTTAGTTAAAAAAGTAATACATACACCTTACACATATGGTAAAAAACAAAAAGTTCAGTCAGTGCCAGTGGATATATAGTGAAAATGTATTTCCTTCCAGTTCACTATTATTTACCAATGACACTGTATTTTTTGAAGGGATCCAAGAATAGCTATACTCTTATTTTAGGTCACATTTTGTTTCTCATTTTTTAAATTTACTACAGTTATTTTTCTCTATTTTGAAAGTACTCCATAACATCCTCCCTCATTCCCTTCCTCTCTCCTTCTCTTTCTTTCTTTCTTAATATTAAGGTAAAGGGGAAAAATTAGATTTATCAGTTACTTGATTATTTATAACTAGCCACTCATCTGGTACTCAAGAGTACACAAAAAGAGCAAAATATCTATATGCAAATATTAAAAGAGTGACAGTATTAAAGATTCTATGAAACATACAGCAGGAAAAAAAAAAGCTAAGTATAGTGTATTCTTAACCCTTCAGCCTAACAACTCACTTTTTAAAAAAGCAAAACTGCCCAATTCTTCAATCATATTCACCTCCCTTGACCCCATCCTGCATACTCACGTTTGTGTATGTGTGTGCTCTGTGTTGAAATCTAAAGAAGATCTGTACCTGAATTAATAGTATTGTATCAAGGTCAGTTTCCTGGTTTTGACAATGTATTATGGTCATGTAAGATATTGTCATTGGGAGAAAACGGATGAGGGGTTACGTGGGAATTCTCTATACAACTTCCTGTGAATCTTAAAGTAATTGAAACTGGGGCCGGCCCCATGGCCGAGTGGTTAAGTTTGTGCGCTCTGCTTTAGCGGCCCAGGGTTTCACCAGTTTGGATCCTGGGAGCAGACATGGCACTGTTCATCAGGCCATGTCGAGGTGGCGTCTCACATGCCACAACTAGAAGGACCCACAACGAAAAAGAAAATATACAACTATATATTGGGGGGATTTGGGGAGAAAAAGCAGAGGAAACAAAAAAGAAGATTGGCAACAGTTGTTAGCTCAGGTGCCAATCTTTAAAATATTTAAAAAGGTAATTGAAACTAATTTATGTGTTTCTCACTCTAAGTTTTTTATGTGCACTCCTTTTTTGGGAGGAGTGGTATATATTTGTGTGAATTTTTATCACATGTAGATTCAAATAACCATCACTATAATCAAGATATAGAACTATTCCATTACTACAAAGAAACTCCCATATGTTACCCCTTAATGGTCACAACTTTCCCCTACCCTAGCCTCTGGCAACCACTGATCTGTTCTCTATCACTGTAATTTTATCACTTTAGAAGCTTATATAAATGGAATTATATAGTGGATTATGCTTCAAGATTGGGTTTTTCGTTCAGCCTAATATCCTCATCCTCCATTGGAGTTGTTGCATGTATCAGTAGGTTGCTCCTTTTCATTGCTGAGTAGTATTCCAGCAATGTGTATATTTTAACCACATATTTTGTACTATGCTTCCCATTCTAGGGGCTGTATCTCTTGGTCCCAGTTGGATCCAGATATCCCAGCTCAAATCTTTTGTGCAGTTATCTGGAGCCATCCAGAGATATCTGTGGTTGATTACTGAAACCCATTTAGTACATTACTTAAGTAATATGTATAAAAGAGTCCACAGTAAAGGCATAGTTGAAAATGAAGTGATCAAGGTAAGGGGTAGACAAGAGTACACAGAATTTTGAGAATGTTCAGAGAAAGGAAACACTTAGCTAATTGACCAGATTGTGTTTCGTATATGTTTATGTTGTTTTCATTCCATGTTCTTAGAGTAGTTTGAGAATAAACCTTTGGGATTAACAGTTTGTTTCATTATATTGTAGCTTTTCTCCAGTATCCCCAAAGTATCTCCAAATGGCCAGTAAGTTTATTAGGCTGGATCTAGATCTGAGCCTTCATTGATTTCTGGAACTGGTTTCTCTGGAAATGATGGTTTCAGGCCTGGTTGTTACAGTTCTGGTTGCTCCACGCTGGAAGGTTTCCTGATGCGTTCTCTTAGAGCTATGGTGCTAGGAAGAGCAGAAGCTTATGTGTTCTTTTGGTGCTGAGCCCTTCTGGGCCTTGCAGTTGCTATTCTTTGACCAACTGGTAGAATTTTTCCATCGCTTAAATTTTGTTCTTTGGTCTTAATCTTATTCAGGATGCTGGAAAATTTTTATATCTGCTGATGGCCTGAGTTATTTCTGACTCTGGAATTTATCATTGAGTGTAGTCAGCTGAGTCTGAAAGATTTAGTTTTAGAGAACACGATTCTTAGGTTTCTTGACTTGACTCTCATCATCATTGTCCTTAACTGTTCTTATTAGCACAAAATCATTTGCCATCCTGGCTGGTGGAGGAATTGGGAATACAAATGTAACTCCCTGGAGGAAGTAGAGACTTGTTAGAAATATGCTAAGGGACAGTGGCTTTGTCACAGACTTGGTTTCTCACTGAGGGATCATGTGGGAGGTGACATTTGGAAGGACACTACCAGGGCTGGCCCAGTAGTGTGGTGGTTAAGTTCGTGTGCTCTGCTTTGGCGGCCCAGGATTCAAAGGTTCAGATCCCGAGCGCAGACCTATACACCACTCATCAAGCCATGCTGTGGCAGGCATCCCATATACAAAATAGAGGAGGGTTGGCAGAGGTGTTAGCTCAGGGCAATCTTCCTCACCAAAAAAAAGGACAGGACTCATTTTATCCAGGCATATTTCAGGTAAGACAATGAAATCCTTGTATTTAGTTCTTTAGCAGAGGAATACAGCTGAGAGTTTTATTTGGTTGATGGTACAGGCACTCGCGAAAAGTAAGGCCACACTTTTGCTGAGAGGAAATGAAAAAAGTTATGGACTTTTTTCCATGGGCCATGAAATAGGCTGAGCTGTAAACAGATAAATTAAATAGAAGCTCTTAGGAAAATATGAAGCAACTTGGAAGTGAAAATATTTTCTAGGGCAAAAGGAGTTACTTTTACAATAACAAAAGCCCACCAGCAAAGTCTAGTAAAGGCTACCATTTTCTTTTATTTTTTTTATTGCAGTAACATTGGATTATAACATTGTGTAACTTTCAGATGTACAACATAATATATTTTGAATTCTGTGTAGATTACATCATGTTTACCACCCAAAGAAGGCTATCATTTTCTTATATTTTTTACTTTACCTCTTTGGGGATGAAAGAAAATTGCACTGAATTTCTTTTTCCCTTTCCCTTCTTGAAATTCTCAATATGGTGTTGAACTCTGAAGAACAAGTGGTTGATTTCTCTCTAGAGTGCTTTATTTAAGATCTGTTGTTCATGTAAGTATTTACTAATAATTGTGTGTTTTAAAAACAAAGTTTCAAGAATTATATAGCTTAAAGATGAAGCAATAGTAGAGCCGCCACTTTGAGGTAATAGCTTTATGAATTTTTCTAGTGATAAAGCTATTGATGTTTAGTTTCTTTCTTTTCTTTTCCCTAGAGGTTTTGCTACTTATTGATGAGTGCCTCAACTTACACCTTTATGATGATGTGGGAATACAGCCACTATCTCTTGTTTCTTCAAGCAATATCTCTATTCCTGCTAGATAGTTTTTCACTAGAGCAAAGTGACAAGGTATTATGGCATCTTGAAATTGTGATTTAAAGCCGGAGAATAAATGTTTTTATAGCATTGTATCTTAAAACCATTTAGCTTTTAAGCTTTATTTGAAAATGTTTGAATAAGTTCTGATTTATACCTCTATTCAAAAGATTGCTAAACTCATTCTCCTCTAGCCCTTTCAGAAGCAGTTTGAAATTCCTTTAGACATGGTCTGCTTAACCAAAGTCACCCTGTGCTTCCTCTCCAATTCTAGCCGCTTCTCCTTCCCTTTCTGTTCCTTTTAGGAAAAAAAGTGAAATATAGAACATGTACAAAAGAGTAAATATATGCTGTATAGACAGTGTGTAGAATAAAATTTGACCACCAAGCCATGAAGTGGAGGCTTTGAATACCCCAGAAGCCCCTCTCTAACTCTTCCCCAGTCAAATCCTGCTTTCTCTCCCACAGAGGCTAACTGTCCTGAATCTCATTAATCCTTTCCTTCCTTTTCTTTGTAGTTTTTAACTATCTATGTATTCCTAAAAAATATGTTGTAAATAATGTATTGTTTAATTTTCCTGATTTGCTTTTGAGATTCATCCACGGTGATGTGCAGAGCTACATTTCATTCATTTTTTTGTATTTATGCATTCTATTGTTGATGGACACTTCAGTTTTTTCTAGTTTATTGTTCGTATGCTGCTGTAAGAATTCTTACACGGTCACCTGGCACATAAGTGCAAGATCTCTCTAGAGGATATGCTTCCTAGTGGAATTACCAGGCAAAAGATATGTGCATGTTCAGCCTAACTGGATACCAAGGCTTTCTCCAGAATGGAGGTTATAAATTATATCAATTTGTACTCCTGCTGGTCGTGGTTAAAGGTTCCCATCGACGTTTGGTTCCTTCTGTTTCTTTATCTTTTTATTTTTTGCCCTTTCTTATCTTTCTTTATTTATAAACATTTATTAAGTATTTGTGTTGTCTCACCCAGAAATTTGGGGATCTTCTTGCGCTTCTCTATCTTTTCTTTATCTCATATACTCAGATGGTCCAGAATCCTGATGAGTACCAACGTTTAGCTTATTTGAATAGAGAGAATTTAATATAGAGTCATTAACCAAGTATAAAGGCGTTCACTTGTTCATTGAAAGGGTAATAAGAACCTGAAAGTATCATGGAGATAGCAAGTGTAGGAAGCAGCTACCACCCCTAGTGCTGAAGGAACAAAGGAAGAATTTGGAATTATTAAAACTTAGAAACTTAGAGGAGGGACCCCGTGGAGGTGAGACTCAGACTTTTGAGGAGGGACTTCTGCTCAGCTTTGCTGGTGTCTCTGACTGAACTAGAAAGAAGGGCCCTGTGAAAATGGGATCCAGACCTCTGAGAGTCCAGAGTCCCAGATGGGACTCTGGCCAACTGCTCTTGGGGTCTCTGGGGTAAGAGGATGTAATAAAGCTGGTTCTTCAAGTGTTGGAAAAACTTCAGCTCCATTCAGCAGCTTCAGCAGGAAGAAATTGCTCTGTTGGAGTGAAGCAGCACCTTAGTGATGCTCACAGGAACTGCAAGCGGACAGGAAGCGATAAGTTCTCCTTTTTCCTCCAACCTTGTAATCTCTCTCTAGCATTTCGTATTGACAGAGCTTAATAGAGAGCCGACTGGAGGAGTAGAAATGTAGATTGTGGATTCCCAGCCCCAGCATTACAAAGCAGGGGATAGAGGGACAAATTTGGAGCTAAGAGACAGTTACTCAAGACCTGTAGAACCAGCATCCAAAATCAAGAAATAGCACATTATCAGCGCCCAGGAGATCCTCTTGTGCCCTCTCCCAGTCCTTGCTTCAGCCTCCCAACAGTAAGGTATCTTTTTTGAATGGCTCTGTCCTCTTAGGGATTTTTTTCCTTCTGTTTTTTGGTTTTTATTTTTTTACTTTTAACACTCTGCCCTTTATTTTTCCCCCCTAACTAATGCCTATATTTGTCTTAGTTTTCCCTTTCTAAAAGGGATTAATTTTGTGGTAGGTTAAATTATTATACTGTTGAATTTTAGAAAAGAAATCTACTAAGACATATAAATTTTCTGGGAGATCTTCTATTAGGACATTGAATTTAACTTTTTTATCCTTACTGTGAAATGGACCAAATGCAAAGTTACTTTTCTCTGGTGCTACACTTCGTGGCAGCACATTTTCACTGGGTAGGATTTGGGAACTGCTGCTAAAGATTATGATCTTTGATCTATGTGGTTGCTGTTGCATAGATGGACTTAATAATGGGGTAAGCCAAGTGAAATTAAGTGAGAGCCTCGGACTAAACAAGTTTCTTCCAGTCTGACTTAGGCGTCCATGGTTTTAAAACTTTTAGCTTTGTTAGTGAGAGTTCTTTTTAAGGAGAAAGTGATAAATTCATTACATACCAAACATTAAAAATACAAATCGAACATTTGCACAGTACTTTCCTAAATTATAATAGCACATTTACTTTATAATTGTAATCAAATCTATTCTAAAACTAATGAAAATATGTACAATAAAGTTCATTTTATTCTCATTCATTTTGTTTTTGTCCCAACAGGTTCATGAAGTTTATAAAATCTATATATTTTCTCTCTTTCTGGGATATTTACTGCAGTTTGAGAACTCAGCATTGTTGGTGTCCCCTTTGTTAAGTTTAGTGGTAGCCTTAATGCTTGCTAAGTGCCTTCAGGTAATTAGAATTGCCTTTTTGTCATTCTTGTGATTAATTTTTAAATTGTTAGTCTTTTATACTTCACTTTTTTGTTCGTATGATTTTTCCCCCCACAGGTGAAGAAAGGAACTTTTATAGCTAAAATAATGAAAGTGATTAATTTTTACTTGGTGTGTACTTTAACAGTGACATTGAATATTATAATGAAGGTAAGTAACTCTGTGTGAGGTTCATGTAGCAGAGCAAATTGAGTAATGAAATTATACTGGACTAAATTTTCATCAGAGTAATGAGATAGCAAGGCAATAGAGTTGGTACAGTAAAACTTTGAGTTGAACAATGATCATACTTAGTATATTAGGTGAGAAAATAGGATTCTGATTATTTTCTTGATACACTTAAAAAAAGAAATACACTTTTTTTCACTTAATTAAAAATGTCATCATTACCCAATTAACATTAAATGATATAGGGATAAATTAAGATGAATAAAAGGTGTTCAGAAGAGTGGGTGAGTTCTTTAATCCAGGTGGGAAAAGGTTGAAATCTTCTTACTACCTCATAAGTTTTTCCTTAACTATAAGGTAACATGATTGACTTATGCCAATAAATCTTTTTGTTTTGTAGTCACACCACGTATTATTATTTATTTCATATTTTTTGTTCTGTAGTCTTGCTGTATTTTCTGTTTCTAGTATTGGACAAAAGCATATTCCTGTAAGCATGGCTAATAGTTCTTTTTTGTAACTAGCATTCTTCTCCTCTAGATGTTTGTCCCACACAAAGAACATGGGCATATGCTGAAATTCCTTGAAGTAAAATTTGGACTAAATATGACTAAGTAAGTTTTAGATTATGTAAGATTACCTAACTCTATACCACTTAGAAGATAAAGAGCAAAAATAATCAATGGAGAGAGTATGTTCCTAATTACATACCACTTAGAAAATAAATGATTTGGGGTACTATAATATGTAGAAGAAATACAACATTAATATTTTTTCCATTTAAAAATATCTCATTCGGGGGCTGGCCCCGTGGCCGAGTGGTTAAGTTGCCATGCTCCGCTGCAGGCGGCCCAGTGTTTCGTTGGTTCGAATCCTGGGCGCGGACATGGCACTGCTCATCAAAGCTACGCTGAGACAGCGTCCCACATGCCACAACTAGAAGGACCCACAACGAAGAATATACAACTATGTACTGGGGGCTTTGGGGAGAAAAAGGAAATAAAATAAAATCTTAAAAAAAAAAAATCTTAAAAAAAAAATATCTCATTTAGGTCTTTTGTAAAGTACATATACTTATGCCTCAGTAGCATCATAATATTTTGAGGCTACTTTCTCCCTTGATGAGGAATAATGATACAATCTAAGGTCAATAAATTTAAAATGACTAAAGAACCAAGGTAATTTTAATGACTACACCAGCAAAATGCTTGCATTAAAAAAGTTGGGGCTGGCCCCATGGCCAAGTGGTTAAGTTCACACACTCCCCTGCAGGCGGCCCAGTGTTTCGTTGGTTCGAATCCTGGGCGTGGACATGGCACTGCTCATCAAACCACGCTGAGGCAGCGTCCCACATGCCACAACTAGAAGGACCCACAACGAAGAATATACAACTATGTACTGGGGAGCTTTGGGGAGAAAAAGGAAAAAAATAAAATCTTAAAAAAAAAAAAAGTTGACGGGGGCAGGGGGGATGTGGTGAAGTGGGCCAGCGTGGTTGCATGGCCTGGTTGCATAGTGGTTAAGTTCATGCGCTCTGCTTTCGCGGCCTGGGGTTCATGGGTTTGGATCCTGTGTGCGGACCTATGCACCGCTCATCAAGCCATGCTGTGGCAGTATCCCACATACAAAATAGAGGAAGACTAGCACAGATTTAGTCCAACAATAATGTTCCTCACACACAAAAAAAACTTTGCGGGCATAAAAAGGGGGTGGGCAATAAGATGTTTATTGCAGAGCAAAGAATCTCATCTTGGGGTCATAATAGTGGACTGGACCAGAAGCTGACTTTTTAAATTCAAAAATAGTGTTGGTGCCCTTTTTTTTGGTTTGTTTATTAAATCCATTTTTAAAATCTAAAAGGAAATTATTTTATGTACTGATAGATCCACTTGCATGACAGAAAATATGTATTTTCCTACACATTTCTCTAGTTCATATAATATACCTTAGAACCTTATTGTCATTTGCTCTGATTACATGGGATTGTAGATACTGTGCATGGAATTTCATGTTGTGATATATCACAGTTAGCAAGTAAAGTGTTTCACATGGTTTAAACACTGGAGGAATTTTCTGAAGTAAAAATCGTGTATGGATATCTACTAAGATAAAAGGATCCTTTAGGAGGTCTTGTGCTCCATAAGGGTAGGGACCATGTCGTTTTTAGGTTTATAGATAGGCCTGACACATAGCAGGCAATTAGTCAAAGTTGGTTGTAGATTGACTAGCTTTTCCACTGACTTTCCCTTTGACTTTGGAAGAATCTAGAATGAGCCTATGATTAAGGGTGGCTTTTGCCCAGTACTTCTTCAGTTCATGTAATGTAGCACCCCTTTGTTCAGCATGTCAGGTATTTGCTTCACAAGGTAACACATTAGGTGTTTTAAAAATAAGACGTGGTCCCTGTCCTTAAGAATATTGCCATCTCATTAGATAGGGTTTATACAGATAACGGCATGGGCAGTATAAACAGTAAATGCCTTATGCTCAAATGTGCCCATTGGATGTTAGGATTTGTAGTTCACCAGAATTTCAGGGAAGTCTGAGACAGACCTTCAAGAACCACTAAAGAAATATTAATAAATATTTATTGGATATGCAGGGTTATAGGCCAGGCACTCTGGGGAATACAGAATGACTCCAGTCTAACACAAGACAGATTGCTTTAAGCACTATAATAGAAGGATAAGTAAAGTGCCATGGGAATATGAGGAAGGAAAGATTGAGACTGGGGGATTATGGAAAGAATGCTTCTTTAATTAGGATTTGAATTGGAGCTTATAGAATTAGTAACTTTAATCGCTTCTCGGCCTTTTGGCTAAGATCAAGTGTAGAATTAGAAACATTAATAGGCAGATAAAAAAAGAGTTGCATTCATCATAGGTACAAGATATTTTGATGCCAGCCTTTTTGATACAAAACTGTATTGTTGTTTGACCCATTGTGAAACTCTGACCTTTTATTCTAAACCCAGTGATTTGTGAGGCAGACGTTCTTGAGCCATCCATGAGCACTCCTGAACTCACTCCATCTCTTACCTTCTGCCCCAGGCCTAGGGATTAAGGTTAAAAAGGAGTTTGGAGATGGATTGGGAGTGAGAATGCAGATAAAACTACACATAACTGGGAGTCTTGTTGATCCTGCAGTGGTCCCTTGGTATCTGCAGGGGAATTGTTCCAGTACCCCTTGGTTACCAAAATCCACAGATGCTCGTCTCTTCTAAAATGGCATAGTATTTGCATATGACCTTTGCACATCCTCCTGTATACTTTCTCATCTCTAGATCACTTATAATACTTAATACAATGTAAATGCTATGTAAATAGTTGTTATACTGTATTGATTAGGGAATAATGATAAGAAAAAAAGTTGGTACATGTTTAGTACAGATGCACCCATTGTAGGCGATCCATGGTTGGGTGAATCCAAGGTTGAGTGAACCTTTGGATGCAGAACCCGCAGGGCCGACTATATTTAGCTCAGGGTCAAAAAAAAGTTTATCCTGATTCTTATAGCTTGAAAGGTTTACATCTCATATTTTATGATTTCTGTCTTAACAGTTAGATATCTCTTTTTTAAATGTTTTTGTTGTTTTTATTTTGTTTTGTTGAGGAAGATTGGCCCTGAGCTAACATCTGTTGCCAGTCTTCTCTTTCTGCTTGAGGAAGATTGTCGCTGAGCTAATGTCTGTGCCAGTCTTCCTCTATTTTGTATGTGGGATGCTGCCACAGCATGGCTTGACGACTGGTGTGTGGATCTGCACCTGGGATCCAAACTGGTGAACCCTAGGGCCCCGAAACAGAGCATGTGAACTTGACCACTATGCCACTGGGCTGGCCCCTAGATATCTCTTTTTATTTATTTATTTATTTATTTTTTTGAGGAAGATTAGCCCTGAGCTAACATCTGCCACCAATCCTCCTCTTTTTGCTGAGGAAGATTGGCTCTGAGCTAACATCCACGCCCAACTTCCTCTACTTTATATGTGGGTCACCTACCACAGCATGGCTTGACAAGAGGTACATAGGTCCGCACCTGGGATCTGAACCGGCAAACTCCGGGCTGCTGAAGCGTAACGTGTAAACTTAACTTCTGTGCCAAGGGCTGGCCCCTAGATATCTCTTTTTAAAATGGGTCCTAGTTGGGTTACATTTATCAATATAAAGCAGGGCTGTCCAATAAAAATATAATGTGAGCCAAAGATGTAATTTTCTAGCCACATTAAAAAAATTAAAAAGAAACAAGTGAATTTAATTTTAGTAATACATTTTATTTAATCTGATGTATCAAACATTATATTAATGTGTAAACAATATGGAAATTATTAATGAGTTATTTTATATTCTTTTTTCCCCATTCTTTTTAATCTTTGAAATTTGGGATGTGTTTTGTACTTAAAGTGCATCTCCATTTGCATTGGCCACAGTTCTAGTGGTCACATGGAGCTAGGAGCTACCATACTGGACCGTGTAGATGTGGAGGTTGGACAGCTGAATTTTTTGTTGTCTTCCAGACAAAAATAGAAAGTGAAACTTCTTTAAAACTGATTGGGTCCTAGAGATGGTCGTGGTACTTGATAATAAAAAGCAGCAGGTTTACATTTTTGGGGCAGTTTGTTGAGAAGGGTTACTAATGCTATTATTTTCATACCTTTAGTACCTTGTTGTAATAAATAAATGGATTTAGGAAATGTGTTTTGTTTGTCTTAGTTTTTACTGAGATAAAAAACACTTTTATGTTCAGTAATTGAAACACTTTTGGTTTTAATATCACGCTTCTTGTCTCGTACAGGAACTTTACGATGAACTGGCTCCTGTGTCAAGAATCTCTGCAGGCGCCGTCTCGAGCTTTCTTTTTGCGGCTGACACAGTCCTCTGTGCTACCTTTCTATACTTTAGTGTTAATCATTTGTTTTTTTTCTATGCTACAAGTTATTTTTAGGAGAATTAAGTAAGTACTTATGAGAATCAATCACATTACTAACTGATATATTATGGAAATATATAAAATACTTATTTTACTATCCTTCCAATATTTGTGTATTTGTTTTAGGGCTTCTAATCTCATTCTCTCTTCATAAATATGTAAAATATCATTATTAAGTTAACCAGATAAATTTCAAATTTAAGCTTATGCATCTAAATATGTTGGGGCCGGCCCAGTGGTGCAGTGGTTAAGTTCACATGTTCAGATTTCAGGACTCACTTTCCATGTTTGTGTTAACAATCTGGTGGCCTGGGGTTCACCAGTTTGGTTCCTGGGTGTGGACATGGACCCGCTTGGCATGCCATGCTATGGTAGGCATCCCACATATAAAGTAGAGGAGGATGGGCACGGATGTTAGCTCAGGGCCAGTCTTCCTCAGCAAAAAAAGAGGAGGATTGGTAGCAGTTAGTTCAGGGCTAATCTTCCTCAAAAAATAAATAAATAAATAACTATGTAATGTCTAGGTTTAATTAAGAGTAATATTTAAATCATCAGTTAAACTTTTATAGACATATTGACTAATTTTTTACTTTTTACAAATTTTTACTTAATGTAAGAATAATTGCTTCTATTTAATTTAAATGAAGCTAGTAGTATAAATGATTGTAAATTATAAAATTTGACTATTTTTAAGTATTTTTATCATATTTGAAAGGAGGTTGTATGTAATATCTTAATTTTGAGAACTTAGTTATTCAAATTATGATTTAGCTATATTGACTTAGCAATCAATAGTTGAATGATAATTGACCTTGGAAAAGAAACCTAAAAATCTTTTTCATTGTATTTCCTGAACTTTCATATTTGGCCTTCTCTGATCGGTTGTCTTCAATTCTAAAAGCTCTTTTCAAGGACTTGGGGATGGATAAGTTAGGTATTTGACTAGAAAAATATAATTTCACATTTTAAGAATCACCTGTATTTCTTTTTAGGAAGAAATTTGGGCTTTTCAAATACATATTTTTGAAGTAGTAAAAAAAAACACATTTTCTTTCTGTAGTGGTAAGTCCCTGAAAGAAACTGTTACTCTTGAAGATGGACGAATTGGAGAAAGGCCAGAAATAATTTATCACGTGATTCACACTATTTTATTGGGCTCTCTTGCAATGGTTATAGAAGGGTGAGTGAACTTTATCTGATCCATTTGTTTTTACAAAGAATTGTCCTTTGTATTGGTATTAAGTGGATACTTTCAAGAATATATTTAGTAAAAACTCCAAATCTGCTTTATAAAAACTCAAAATCTACAAACTTTCTTACTCTAATTAGAATTTACAAAGATGTTTATAGTACAACGAATTGACGTTTACATATTCATTTCATTCATTTGTTCAGAAACTATTGAATGTCTTTCAAGGGCCAGGCATTGTACTAGGTGCTGGAGGTACCGCAGTGAACAAAATTGGACACAGTCTCTAACCTTCTATGACTTATGACCTAATGGAGGTGACACATGTTAACCACACAAAAATAAAATTATGACTTTGATAAGTGAAGGAGAGGTAAATGGTGCTGTGAGAGTAAGGGTTTGATAAATGATACCCTTTTCTTTGAAGTTTGGACTCAGATGAGGAATAAGACATAGGAGTAAGTCAGCTGGAGAGGAAAATAACTTTGGTTCTGATAAAAGTTGCATTGGAGAACACTTCTTCATGTGCGCCAAAAGGGCTTTTAATATCTTTCACCTCCAAATGAGCTTATTGCTCCCACCTCAGGCTTTGCCTCTTGAATGGGCAGAGCATTGGGAAGCCTGCTGCACCTATATACGCTCACTCAGCAGAAGGAAGACACAAAATATAGAAGCCTGGAAGTGTTTGAGCTGTGTGTGCCCAGTTCTTTCTCTCACACTCACAGATCTCATAAATCACTGCAAGACCAGGAGCTATTAAGGCTCTGAAGGAGAGGGATGGGAGTGGAAGTAGGAAGAGGTAAAGAATATTGATCTAGTATGAGGTTTCTGAAGTTAAATTCTCTTTAATTATGACTATAGATACTGAATCACCATAATTTTAGCAGTTCCTGTGGTGCTTTTCCCAACAGAAAGCATAGCTATTTTGACAGATTAATTTTTTACAGATCTCTTGAAATACTGTTTATACACATCACTACTTCAAAATTAGTCATTATTAGACCTGTGTTTCATGTTCTAAGGAAGTACAAATATTGCTGTATTACAAATTTATTTTCATTATTTTATATAAATATTTCAACATAATTGGTTTCCTTTGTAAGCCCGTATATTTTATTTTATGCCTTTAAAAATGTTTTCTTATAGGGGGTCCATAGACTTTATCAGACTGCCAAACTCATGACTAGTGGGAATCCCTTTATGGAAACGTGAAACGAGAGTAGTGGTTGAGTCTAACAGTTAGCATTCCATAATGCCTAATAAGTAGGATGAAGAAATGTGTTAAACCATTAATATTATAAGTGATTCATGTTTTGAGTCTCGTCGCCTTGTAATAGTAGAATTTTGAAGCATGGTTTACCTTTTTTCCCCCTTTACTTTGTCAGTTTTATTTCTCTCTGCAAAAGAACCTTTTATCATTCCCATCATTTTTAATTATTGGATCTGCCATTTTAAATTCAAGATCCTTTTTTGAATGTCCAATCTGCATTATTCTATCATTTGTCCCTAATTCTTTAATTTACTCTCTAGACCTATAAAAGCATAATCGCCTGTTCATGCAGATAAGATGCATGGTCACCTAGTAGATGCCAGGCTCTCGACTAGGTAGGCAGTAGTGATTAAAGGGTATAAAATCTAGGGGCCCACCCCAGGGCCGAGTGGTTAAGTTTGCGCGCTTCTCTTTGGCGGGCCAGGGTTTTGCTGGTTCAGGTCCTGGGCACAGACATGGCACCAGTGGTCAGGCCACATTGAGGCGGCATCCCACATGCCACAACTAGAAAGACCCACAACTGAAAATACACAGCTCTGTACTGGGGGGATTTGGGGAGAAAAAAGCAGGAAAAAAAAGAGTATAAAATCTCTTTCTTTTCAAAGGCTTCCTATTCTAGATAAGTAAACCAAGAGTTAGTGCAAAATAAAGTACTATGGGAAAGGTATACATAGGGTCCTTTGGTCAGCTAGAAGAGATGTGCTAACTCAGTTGTGGAGGGTGGGTAGGGGAAGTCAGTTTAAGGAAGATTTCCTAAATGGGGCGACAGTCTTGAGAGATAAATAAAGATTGGCCAGGCTGTCGGTTTTCTCGTGTGCCTCTGTGTGTGTGTGTGTGTGTGTGTGTGTGTGTGTGTGTGTGTGTGTGATAATCTGGGTAGGGGCCGGCCCCATGGCAGAGTGGTTAAGTTCACTCGCCCTGCTTCGGCGGCCCATGGTTTCACCAGTTCGGATCCTGGGCGCGGACATGGCACCACTTATCAGTCCATGCTGAGGTGGCGTCCCACGTGCCGCAACTAGAAGGACCCACAACTAAAATATATAAATATGTACTGGGGGGGGATTTGGGGAGAAAAAGCAGGAAAAAAAAAGATTGGCAACAGTTGTTAGCTCAGATGCCAATCTTTTTAAAAAAAAAAAAATCTGGGTAGAAGAAGTGTTCTTTTGGAACTAATAGTATGCAATCAGTATGAGGGAAGTAGCAAGGGCTATGTCTGGAAACATAAGCAAGGATCAGATCAGATTTTTTAAGCAGAAATTTGACATGATCAGATATGCTTTTTAGTAAGATCTCTCTGGCAGCAGTGATTAAGAAAGGTTTGAGAAAAATAAGGTTAGAGGAAGATAAACCAGTTAAGAAAGTGTCACAATAGAATCTAGAAGCAAGGAACAGTGGAGATGGAGGAAAGGGGCCAAAACGAAAATTTTGGGGAACTGGAAACTGAATAAGTAGTAGTGCAGACTGTGGTGGAGGGACGCTGGCAAGAGTTGCAGCTCAGAAGCCAAAGGGGGAATTATTAAGCTCCTTAAAACTTAAGTTAATTTTAAGTCCTAGAAAAGGGTGCAGTTGTACCAGGAGGGAGAAACGTGTGCATTATGGGATGGAAACACTGATTGTTCTGCAAACTCTGGCTGAAACATTAGTCATATTTAGGGAAGTAGTAGGAGAAGAAACTGAAAAGGTAAGTCGAGGCCATATTTTAGAGGGTCCTGAAAACATTTAGATTAGTTTTCATTTATTTCAGTAGGCACTGGGGAGCCAATAAAGATTTTTGAACAGAAAATGTCTTTATCATAGTTATGTTTGAGGAAGATTCATCTGGCATTTGGTGGAATTGGAGGAGAGTCTACAGGAAGAGGTGTTAATTAGCAAGCCATTGCAGTAAAATGGTAAGGAAGGGATGGATAGAGAGAAATCAGTGGACTTGGTGCAATGGTCTAATGTCTAGAGCAGGGGGTTTGTGTTCCAGGGGATGTTATATACATATAATTCAATGTGAATGGTGTCTCCTAGCTATAAACCAGACTCTAGTATTGATTCTGCTGATTGGAAGAATAGGTTGATATTTTCAAAAATGGGGAAGTTAGGAGGAAATACTGGTTGACCAGAGGAAACTAATGCAGTTCCTGTGTCTTAGCAACGTGTATTCTGTATATGTCCACTATTTCTCTCAAGGCCCAAGTCAGTAAGCATTTTTTTAAAACTTTCAATAAGTACATTCTTCTCAAATTGGTCATTTTGCTTTCACGTAACCCTAGACTGTAAATCAAATTTTTATACCTATTTTCTAATTGTTTCCCAAATGTTCAGTTTTATTCCATCGTGATAAAGATCTCCTTGAGGTCTGTAGCCATGTCTTATTTTTATTTTTTCCTCTCCAGTACTTTGGTCAGCCTGCAGTGTATGATCAATAAATGTTTATTAGATGAATGAATATTACTTTATTTTCCCCATTCCATAGCTTTGCTGTTTTATAAAACCATAATAGTTCACATTTATACTCTGTCCTTAGATTCTTCTAGTTTCCTTTGAGTTTGACATCAAGAAATGTCATGAAAGGATCTTGTTCTCCTTAGTGTTAATTACAAAAGTTATCTCCTGGGGGCCATCCCTATAGCCAAGTGGTTAAGTTCACGTGCTCTGCTTCGGTGGCCCAGGGTTACCCTGGTTTGGATCCTGGGCACAGACCTGGCACTGCTCGTCAGGCCGTGCTGAGGCAGCATCCCACATAGCACAACCAGAAGGACCTACAGGCAGAATATAGAACTATGTACTGGGGGGCTTTGGGGAGAAGAAGAAGAAAAAAAGAAAAGAGAGGATTGGCAACAGATGTTACCTCAGGTGCCAATCTTTAAAAAAAAACAAAAAAGTTATCTCCTGAAATGTTTTTCCTTGATAATCTGTAAGAAGCAATGACATCTGTAAATTTTTCTAAATTCTTCCTCTTTTACCATCACCTAGGATGATGGGTTCCTTTTGTTTCCTCTACAACTTAGAACATAAAGTAATGTGCTGTCTTCTATTTGCACAAGTTCATTTTTCTGTACACCTGGATTTATAATCTTTTTAGGAGCCCTAAGTTTTTAGCCCTTGTTTTTTAAAAATTAATCTCAAAAGTAATCATGGAGATTATAACAAACTATGAAGTGAAAAATGAAAATCCTTCCATCCCATTCCTCAGAGGTCACCACTGTTAGCAATATATTTCCAGATATTATTTTTGACTGTACTGTATATATCTACATTTTTTTTAAAATCACCAAAAAAAAGGGTAACAGTATACACGAAATTTCGCATTTTGCTTTTTTGTTTTTCATAATTTATTTAATTAATACCTATTGAAAGACAGTTTCTAATTTTTTTGCTATTAAAACAACATGCTGCAATTAAAACCCTTGTATGTGTTTGTGTGTTTCTTTATGAACTTAGGCCAATGTATCTTTAGGCTAGATTGCTAGAGATGGGGTTGCCTTGGAGTATTTAAAATTTTTATAGGTTCTGCCAAATTGCCTTCTGAAAAGGTATAACAGTTAACATTCTCTCCAAGAGTGTAATTTTACTGCACTCTCATCTATATTAAAGCTCTTATTTCATCTTCAGTTTAGTCTTCTTGATTATTTAGGAAATGAATAACAATCTGCTGCTGAAAATTAGAGGCTGAGCTTTTTCATTCTTCCCTAACATTGTGGTAGGAAAGAACTCAGAAAAGAGAAATCAGGTAATGATGGTCATAGGATATCTCCTATGTGCCTCCTTTTGTCTTTCCAGCTTGAAATACCTCTGGACTCCGTACGTGTGCATGTTGGCAGCATTTGGTGTATGTTCTCCTGAACTTTGGATGACACTTTTCAAGTGGCTTCGATTACGAACTGTACACCCAGTGTTATTGGTGAGTCGTTATTTTCTGTTAAGTACTTGTTTCTCTTACAATTATGTAAATGGAAATCACATTGAATACAATTGAAATAGCATGACTATATGACTTAGAGGCAGAAAAAGAGATCTTGTGAAAAAATTTTTTTTTTCTGATTATAAAAGTAATGCATTTGAATGCTGACAGCTTAAAAAATAAAAGGTAAAAATAAAGGGAATCAGTACTGTGAGAGGCTGTCAAGAATTCATTTTTATGGTATCTTTCTTGGTTTGATTTAAAACTATGATATGTTTTCAATGTGAATAGAACATTTTCACTGTGCCTGCTATGTGCAATGTGCTTCAAATACAAAGATAAGTAAAACTTGATTAATTTCATCAAGTAGATTACAGTGTCCTGGTCGTAAAAACAATAAGAAGTATTAATGGCGCTGGCCCCATGGCTGAGTGGTTGAGTTCGCGGGCTCCACTTCGGTGGCCCAGGGTTTCACCGGTTCGGATCCTGGGTGCAGACATGGCACCACTCATCAGGCCATGCTGAGGCAGTCCCCCACATGCCACAACTAGAAAGACCCACAACTGAAAATACACAACTATGTGCTGGGGGGATTTGGGGAGAAAAAGCAGAAAAAAGTAAAAGAAAAGAAAAAAGAAGATTGGCAACAGTTGTTAGCTCAGGTGCCAAAAAAAAAGTATTGATAGCGTGCTCTTGGAACACAGAGAAGGGCTATTAATTCAGCTTTTTTAGGGATTCAAAGAATACTCTCTAAACTGAGATTTGAAAGATGGTGAGTTATTAGACAAATGACGGGGAAAGAAAAGGTATTCATGGTAGAAGGAATAAACACAGGTCAGCAAAGAACATGATGTAATCAAACAAAGAAAACAGAGGCAAAGAAAAAGGATGATATATTTAGTTTTGTTGGCATATAAAATGTGAGGTGAGGTTTGGTCAAGAAATGAGACTGGAGAAGTTGAGGAGGGTAAGGTCATAAGGCGTCTGAGTTCATGCCAAGGCATAGGGAGGCATTGAGATATTTCTGTGGGGGTGTGAGAGAGTCAGACTTACCGTTTCCTCTCAGCTCACCTTTAGTTCTGTGAAGGACAGGTGTAAGGGTGAAAGACTCAAGCTAGGAAAGAGGCTGTCACCCAGGTACAAGCCACGGTGGATGGAAGTGATAAAAGCTTCTGTTTATTGAGTGCTCACCATGCTTCAGGTACTCTTTGAAGCATTTCACATACTATTTAACGCTTACAAAGACCCTATTGGCTAAATTTTATTATCTGTATGTTATGGACAAAGAAACTAAAGCTAGAACTGGTTAAATAAATTGCCTGAGATCACGTAGCTTATTATAAGAGTAGAAACCATGATTCACTCAGGTTTTTCTGACTCCAAAGCCCATTCAACTAATATTATGCTATAGTTATAGTTAAAAAAAAATAATTAGAAAAGATTAATGAGACTTGGTGCTTGATTAAGTATGGGAGAGTGAGGAAGAGGGAGAAATCATAGATGTTTCCTAGGTTTCTGGTTTGTATGACTATGCATCATGGCGTCACCCACAGACATGGACAACAGGAAGAAGAACAGATATTAGCAGGAAGATAATGAATGATTATCTTTAATAATAGTCATGTATTTTGCAAATCTTTTTCCAGAGAAATTTAAACATTCTTATTTTAGCATTCTAGTATATTGATATATATTAGCTATTTTTCCTGTGTTAATTCATTATCTTTTTGTTGCTGCTGTTATTAGCTTTTTAGGTAGCAGTTCAGTGTTCTCTGTAAGCCTTTCATAACTTAAATTCCTGGCAAAATTGTCAAATATTAATTTGCTATTTGAAATATTACTGAGTGTTACCTTTTTTATATCCTACTTTAAATTTATACAGTAAACATGTATGTCTCACTCTGCCTTCAGCATAGTGTGTCTTTAATTCATTAGTCTTCACCTGTCTCACTCTGTGAACTGGGTTCTGTGCTGACTTCAATTTCTCTGAAACTGAAATTTTTATAACTGTAAGAATCTGTGATTGGGCATAAAGTCAGTGTCTAGTACCTCTAAATACATTCTGAAATGTATTTATCCATAACCATTTTTGTTTTAATATTTTAGGCTCTTATTTTGAGCATGGCTGTGCCCACTATAATAGGTCTCAGCTTATGGAAAGAGGTAAGAAAATCAGATTTTTATATCATTAAAATGTACTTTATCTACAAGGTAGTGATAAATTTATATGTATGTGCAGTATACTTAAATTGAGACACTATTCTAACAAAATAAAGTGTAATATTCTTAGGAACTTTTCTATTTTATCATTAGGAACATGATAGAAGAGCTAAAACATTTTTAGAATGCCATCTGATGCAATCTGCCATAGTCTAATGCTGTTATTAATTCAGTTTATAATTGGCAAAAGAAATTGCTAAATAAATAAATGTTAATATTAAAAAGCATTTTGGCTTGGGGCCAGCCTGGTGGCATATTGGTTAAGTTCGTGCACTCTACTTCAGTGGCCTGGGGTTTGCTAGTTCAAATCCCAGGCACAGACCTGTATACCGCATATCAAGCCATGCTGTGGTGGCATCGCACGTACAGAATAGAGGAACATTGGCATAGATGTTAGTTCAGTGACAGTCTTCCTCAAGCAAAAAGAGGAGGATTGGCAACAGATGTTAGCTCAGGGCCAATCTTCCTCACCAAAAAATAAAAAAATTATTTTGGCAACTCCAAAATTTAAATATTTATAAAATAATATAAATTCTTTGGCTTATCATAATATAGCATGGAACTATTTGCCAATAAATCTGTGAATTATTTGACCTGGAATTTATTTATTTATTTTTAGTATGTATGTGAATGAAAGATACAGCTGCTGATTAATTGTTCAGTAATGATAAAATTATTTATTGAGTCTAGGCAGTAAATTAACTGTAAAACAGATTATTTAGAATATTTGGCCCTAGAAGAATGAGCAGGTTACTGAAAGTTAGTAAAGAGATCCATAGCATTTTTTCCGTAAGGACAGAGTTGTAGTATTGTTTGTCTTAAGGTGGTCTCTTAGTCTTTTGAAATACTCTGGAACAGTTTTAAGCTTTCTAGCTACTTATACACACTTTTTGGGGATTTTGTTTTTCATTTTAGTTTTTTCCAAGATTAATGACAGAATTAACGGAACTACAAGAATTTTATGACCCAGATACAGTGGAACTTATGACCTGGATAAAGTAAGAATTGAACTGCCCAAGACTTGCTAAGCTATTAATTATTCTTTGCATGCTATCTAATAGATTCAGGGGAAATAATAAATTAATGCTTTTCCAAATTCTTCTCATAAAACTCAGGAATTTTACCCTGTGTTTTTAGGGATATTTAGTTTTTGATTGGATTTATAATTCTAATTTTCTAATTGAACTCTTCTCCATTTAAAATATAGCATGAATAATTTTGAGATTTGAGACTCTCTTCGTCAAACACCTAGAAATGTGGAATAAAAAGGAACAAATATCCTTTTATTTAAATAGTCAGGAGGATGCCTCTTTTGCCCTGGGTTGGAGGTGGATGAGTGGTAGATTGCTAATCTCAGTAACCAAGGTTAATTTTTTAGATTAATTTTAATACCCACACAGCTTTTAATGCCCTCGCAGGACAGGAGATGTGGTCTTGGGCTTATGGGAGCAGGGAATTGTAATTGAGACACCTTTTCCCCTCCTGCAACACACACATATATAACTAAGGAGCCCTTGAAGGGCTACACCATCAGTGAAAGGACAGACTAGCAAAATATCCATCAAGGGTTAAGAAACCATGTCTTTCCTTGGTCTCAGTTCTTGGTGCAAAAAAAAGTCTCTCCTCTGAATTTCTAGCAGTGGTTCTGAATTCACATGAGGTTGTAGTTTGAAATTTCACTTATCTAATCTAGGAAACCCCAAATCAAGAAGTTATCATAAAAAGTGGTCTGGACTGCCTGAATATCCTCAACCCAGGCTACACAGGATTCCACAAATATAGTTTCATGAAGATGAGCTCTAAGATTACAAAACACTTGAGGAAACAGTCCAACACAGCAAGAATCAGATGTCATTTGTGATGAACAGCACAATTAGACCTCTAGCAATTTCTGATAATAAAATTTGTGTCAGTTAGTTTTTGCTACATAGGAGACAACCACAAAACTTTTAATGGCTTACAAATAATAAACATTTGTTATTTTGCACCACTTTGAGGGTCAGCTGAGTGGGGGCAGTGGGGAGGATTCTTCTGGTCTGGGCCAGCTCAGCTGAGACTGGATAGCTTGGCATAGCTTCCCACATGTCTAAGGTTAGGTAGGTGTCAGCTGAGGGGTGAAATTGACTTGGCAACCTGCCTCTCATCATCCAGCCCAGGTTAGCCTGGGCTTGTTCACAAGGTTGCGGTTGTAGAGTTCCCAAGAACAGCAAGAGAGGCTAAGTCTCAATTTCAAAACTGTTTTACATCTCACATGATGTTTGCTGTTGTTCTGTTGGCCAAAACAAGGCACATGACCAGGGCCAGAGTTCCTTCCAAGAGCATAGCTATAGGGAGAAGAGTCATTACAGCCATTTTTGTGATCAGTCTACTGCATGGATAGAGACTATGAAATAACTCATTGAAAGTTGTTAAAGACATAGAAGAAGAAACTAAACCATGAAAGAGGAGTCGAAACACTATCAACAAGGGCCGGGAAAATAAGACAAAAGGTGTTTCTAGAAACGAGGAATAGGTTTATAGAATAGGTATATAGAAATGAGAATAGGTCCTATTATAAGATCTTGTTACATAATGACCCCCCTCATATGTATAAAAATTGTTTTTTAGATCACCCTTAACCATTGCCTGTTAATACTTTTTGGGAACTGTATTTACCATTGTGGAACACTGACTGTGTAGCTTTGTGTTGTCATTAACAAAAGAGGGAGTTACATCTGTGTGTGTGATTTACCACAATATTCTCAGAAGCAGAACATTGGACATTTACATCAGACAATGGACATTTATGTTACTGGAGTGTAATTATTCTGTTTGATGTTTGTTTCCCCATTAGTGGGTACTCTTTGAGGACAATGGCTGTGTACCATCTTTTTATTTCCAGAGCTTGGCACTATCTCTAGCACATAGCAGGTGGATCCTGAATGTTGAATACAGGGAGTGAATAAATAAGTGAAGGCGTTAGAGCAGCCCTTTGGGGCCTGCTTCTAGGTTTCCTAGTCTTCTAAGTGGCATCCATCTGGGACTTTGGGTCATGGCTCAAAGTATCACCATTGAGTTGACCATACTAATATAAAATAATATATTCCTATCACTATATCCCATTACCCTGCATTATTTTTTAATAGCGTTATTACCACCTGACCTGCATGTTTGTTGTCCTCCCTGTGCTCCCTCTCAAGATTAGGGATCTTGTCTCCACTGCGCCTTTTAAAAAAATTTCTGTATCTTCAGCCTTCACAATAATTCCTTGCACATAATATGTGCTCAGTTTTTTTTAATGAATCCATAAATGAAATGAAATGAAAGCTGACATTGAAACTTAAGTGTACAATATATTGTAAGTTTCCTGGTATTTCAGAGTTGATATAAGTCAGTGACCTAAATAGTATACTTACCTTTTCAGTGTGTAAAACTTTATGGTTCTTTGCAGAAGGCAAGCTCCGGTTGCAGCTGTGTTTGCAGGGAGTCCACAGTTAATGGGTGCAATTAAATTATGCACTGGATGGATGGTAACAAGCTTGCCTCTTTACAATGATGACGATCTTCTCAAGAGAAATGAAAATGTAAGGCATTTTAGATTAACATTTGAATCTTTTTTATATCACTCTTTAGTATAGTTATGTAAATGATGCATATGTTCCTGGTTAGCTAGGAAAATCCAACCAATTTTAGAAGAGTTAATCAACTTTAATTTTTAAAAACCTGTATAGTACATTTAACTAAGAGGAGAGCCAAAATCAAAATAGTAAGTTCCTTGTTTTATGAGTAGTATTGATATGTTTCTAGGAGAAACACTTAATTTTCCACAAAGTTTCAAGGGAACTGATATGTAATATTTCACAAAGAGAAACATTCTTCTGAAAATACCATTGTTCTTGATCGAATTATTGAAGGAAGGCTGTTAATGTCTTGATACACTTTGTATTTCTAAGCTAAAATTCTATTTCCCTGTGATTTATTTTTCAATATGGGCTGTTATAAATAACTCAGTATAACATTAGAATGGTATCTAATTACTTGTTGTTCAGAGAATATATTATTTTGAATGTTTGATATGGGTTTAAATGGTAACTCCATATATGGAGGCAATGACCAACTGAACCTGAGTTCCAAATATTCTGTTTTTCAATTTGGGAGAATTTCATAGAGCTTTTAAGTATACTCTAAGCTAAGGAAGAAGTATAGCAATATAGAAGTTAGTCTCTAGTCTAGAGGTTAGACCCTAAAAATGCAGACTCTGAAATTAGAGTATCTGGACTCAATAACTGCCTCTGCCACATACTAGCTTTGTGACCTCGTGTAAGTTTTTTATTTTTTTTTTTGGATTCCCACGCCTTTTTTTTTATTGAGGTATAAGTAACTTATAACGTTTTATTAGTTTCGGTGTACAATGTAATGATTTGATATTTGTATATATTGCAAAATGATCACCACCGTAAGTCTGGTTAACGCCCATTACCGTAAGTTGTTACAATTTTTTTTTCTTGTGATAACTTTAAGATCTACTGTCTTAGCAACTTTCAAGTATACAATACAGTATTATTAATTGTATTGACCATGCCATACACCATCCCCTGACTCATTTATTTTGTAACTGGAAATTTGTACCTTTTGACTCCTTTCATCCATTTTGCCCACTCCCTACCCCTCCCCCGACATCTCTGGCAACCACCAATCTATTCTCTGTATCTGTGGGCTCGGTGTTTTGGTTTTGTTTTGTTTTGTTTTCAGATTCCACATGTAAGTGAGATCATATGGTATTTGTCTTTCTCTGTCTGACTTATTTCATTTAGCATAATGCCCTCAAAGTCTGTCCATGTTGTCACAAATGGCAAGACTTCATTCTTTTTTAATGGCTGAATAATATTCCATTGTTTATATGTATCACATTTTCTTTATCTCTTCATCCATTGGTGGACAATTAGGTCGTTTCCATGTCTTGGCTATTGTAAATAATGCTACAATGAACATGGGAGTGCAGATACCTTTTCGAATTAGTGTTTTCATTTTCTTCCTATAGATACCCAGAAGTGGAATTGCTGGATCATATGGCACTTCTCTTTTTAATTTTTTGAAGAACCTTCATACTGTTTTCCATAGTGGCTGCACCAATTTACATTCCCACCAACAGTGCATGAGGGTTCCCTTGTCTCCACATCCTCACCAAACTTGTTATTTCTTGCTTTTTTGATGATAGCCATTCTAACAGGTGTGAAGTGGTATCTCGTTGTGGTTTTTCTTTTTTTTTTTTGAGGAAGATTAGCCCTGAGCTAACTACTGCCAATCCTCCTCTTTTTGCTGAGGAAGCCTGGCCCTGAGCTAACATCCATGCTCATCTTCCTCTACTTTATATGTGGGACGCCTACCACAGCATGGCTTTTGCCAGGTGGTGCCATGTTTGCACCCGGGATCCGAACCAGCGAACCCTGGGCCACTGAGAAGCAGAACGTGCAAACTTAACCGCTGCACCACCAGGCCGCCCCCTCCTTGTGGTTTTGATTTGCATTTCCTTGATAATTAGTGATGTTGAGCTTCTTTACATGTACCTGTTAGCCATCTGTATGTCTTCTTTGCAAAAATGTCTATTCAGATTCTCTGCCCATTTAAAAAAAAATTTTTATAGTGGTCTAAATAGTTTATAACATTGTGAAATTTCAGTTGTACATTATATTTGTCAAACACCATGTAAATGTGCCCCTGCATCCCTTGTGCCACCCTCCTCTGCCTTTCCCCTGGTAACCACTAAATTGTTCTCTTTGTCCGTAAGTTTGTTTCTCTTCCACGTGTGAGTGAGATCATGTAGTGTTTGTCTTTCTCTGTCTGCCTCATTTCACTTAACATGATGCCCTCAAGGACCATCCATGTGGTTGCGAATGGGACAATTATGTCTTTTTTTATGGCTGAGTAGTATTTCATTGTATACATATGCCACATCTTTATCCAATTATCAGTTCTTGGGCACTTAGGTTGCTTCCATGTCTTGGCTATTATGACTAATGCTGCAATGAACATAGGGGTGCATAAGTCTCTTTCTATTGTTGATTTCAATGTCTTTGGATAAATATCCAGCAGTGGGATAGCTGGGTCATATGGTATTTCTAAGTTTTTCGAGAAATCTCTCTTCTGTTTTCCATAGTGGCTGCACCAGTTTGCATTCCCACCAGCAGTGTATGAAGGTTCCCTTTTCTCCACAGCCTCTCCAACACTTGTTATTTCTTGTCTTGGTGATTATAGCCATTCTGTCAGGCGTAAGATGATATCTAAGTGTAGTTTTGATTTGCTTCTCCCTGATGATTAGTGATGTTGAGCATCTTTTTATGTACCCATTGGCCATCTGTATATCTTCTTTGGGAAAATGTCTGTTCATATCCTCTGCCCTCTTTTTGATTAAGTTGTTTTTCTTTTTGTTGTTGAGTCAATACCATACTGTTTTAATTGCAATAGCTTTGTAGTACAGCTTGAAATCAGGGAGCATGATGCCTCCAGCTTTGTTCTCCTTTCTCAAGATTGCTCTGATTATTTAGGGTCTTTTGTGGCTCCATACAAATTTTAGGATTGTTTGTTCTATTTCTGTGAAAAATGACATTGGAATTTTGATAGGGATTGCATTGAATCTGTAGATTGCTTTGGGTAGTATGGACATTTTAATAACATTAATTCTTCCAATCCATGAGAATGAATATCTTCCCATTTATTTGTGTTGTCTTCAATTTCTTTAATTTTGAGCAAATTTCTGAATCTGAAATAATAATAGTTCTCACCTCCCAGTTGTGAAAATTAAACAAGATAATGCACTATGCCTGAAACATAGTCAAATTTAAGTGTTAGCTGTTATTATGTACTATTAAATTGTAATTGTAGGTGCACACACATATACATATCAGCATACAAAGTACAAAGAGGGGTTCAAAAGCAGGAGCAATCAATTCTGCCTACAAAAATCCGAGTCTTCATAAAGGGCATTCCCTTGATCTGGGCTTCGAAGAACGAGTAGAAACTTGTTTGGGAAGAGAATACATATGATTCTAGGCTGAAAAAGTAACATGAATCATGAAATTTGTATGGCCATGACTAGAAAACAAAATGAGGCCAATTCTGAAGGACCTGGAAGGTCATGCTGAAAAGTTTAGACTTGCCTTTGAGGCATTTTGGAGTCATCAAAGATCTTTAATAAGCCTGGGAGTGTGGAATGCTTAGATCTGTTTGAGAGAGTTAATTTTGGTCATAGCGGAAAGAAGAGATTGAAGCAGGGGAGAGTCAGAGATGGGGAGGTCTACCTGGGAGTGATTTGGCTGAGAGACAGCAGCTGCCTCTCATTAGCATTTGCTGTACCTGATTTGAAAAGCTGTTGTCGCTTGGACTGCATGTGTATAGCATAGTTCTGAGCTTATTTTTTGTGGATTTAAACCAACTATCTCTGACAAGCCTTTGTTTCCTTTGTTGTCTTTTGATTAGTCATTTTCATAATATAGAATTTCAGAATCACATATAATTAGGTCAGAGTTCTAATTAAATTTAAACATTTTAGAGTTTTATGTGACTTGGCTATGAGAGTAGGAACCGTGTTTTTTCCCCAAACCTTTGTCTTTCTCTATAGTATCTAGTACATAGCAAGTACTGAATAAATTTCTTGTGAAATTAAAATTCAGATTGAACTCCACAAATGAGACCATATAATTTGAATAAGACATTATCTATAATTCATAACATGTGACTAATCTTTGTATAATATCCTGGCCATTGATTCTCAAACCTGGGATAATTATGCTCCCAGGGGACATTTGGCAGTGTCTGGAGACATTTTTGATTGTTCCAACGGGAGGAGGGGTTTTACAGTCTAGTGGGTAGAGACCAGGAATACTGCTAAACATCCAACGATGCACAGAACAGCCTCCCTTCTGTCCCCACAAAGAATTATCTGTCCCAGGGGCCAGCCCCGTGGCCGAGTGGTTAAGTTCGCGCGCTCCGCTGCGGCGGCCCAGGGTTCAGATCCTGGGCGCAGACACGGCACCGCTCATCAGGCCACGTTGAGGCGGCGTCCCACATCCCACAACTAGAACGACCTGCAACTAAGATATACAACTATGTACGAGGGGTTTGGGGAGATAAAGCAGGAAAAAAAAAAAAAGATTAGCAACAGTTGTTAGCTCAGGTGCCAATCTTTAAAAAAAAAAGAATTATCTGTCCCAAAATGTCAACAGTGCTGAGGTTGAGGTACCCTGCCTTAGTCTATAGTAATGTTATTGCGATTGCACAGAAGTGTTTTTTTTTTAATTAAGGTTATGAAAGTTAACATCCTTGTGAAATTACAGTTTTACATCATTATTTGTCATGTTGTAGGTACACCACTTCACCCGTAGTGCCCTCCCCCCACCCCCTTTTTCCCTGGCAACCACCGATCAGTTCTCTTTGTCCGTATGTTAACTACCACCTATGAGTGGAGTCATACAGAGTTCGTCTGTGTCTGTCTGGCTTATTTCACTCAACATAATACCCTCAAGGTCTATCCATGTTGTTGTGAAGCATAGAAGTGTTTTTAATGCCCCAAGGGTATGTTACAGTTCCCAAAACTTAAAAATAAATAAAAATGTATGTAAAAAACTATAAATAAATATAGGCTGGATAGAATAAAACCGTTCTTCTTGACACTTATTTAGCAAAGTGAAATGAATGAGAAACTTCTTGATTTATTAGCATTCTGTGTACCACAGAATGTTCAAGCGAGTATCTCTAGCATGTCAGTGGACATTGGACATAAAGGTGCTGGATAGACAGCAACCATAACATGGAGTAGGTGGCCACTAATATTCAGCAAATAGACTGGGATTGTGTCCAATCTAGATTTCAAGTCTCAGTATTTAGGACAAATAGTATGTGGTACTTTTTGGCTTAACATTTGTGATTTCATTATTTTCTGAAGGGTAACAAGAGCTAGTCCAGTGTTAGCATTTCAGAAAAACTGAAAAACATTATCTAATAACATTCAGAGCTTATTATCTAATAAGGTCAGCAAAATTGTGATGAAAAAACAACACAATAAAGACTTGAGTTTTAAGCATCCTGGCTTATTCAGTATTTTGTGACAGTGGTCAAATTATTTTTAACCTTGCTGACTTTATCTCATGTATAAAATGAACATAAAATACTCTGATATACGGTAATAAAAAAGATTAAAGGAACTATTATAGCTCAGTAATAAAAAACCAATTGAAAAATGGGCAAAGGCCATTTACAACATGGATGAATCTTGAGGGCATTATGCTAAGTGAAATATGTCAGAGACAGACAAATGTGGTATGGTATCACTTATATGTGGAATCTAAAAAAGCTGAACTCAAAGAAACAGAGTGATGGTTACTAGGGGCTGAAGGGTGGGGGAAATGGAGAGATGTTGGTTAAAGGGTACAAACATCCCTTGTTGACTATAGTTAATAAGACAGTATTTTATACTTGAAAGTTGCTAGGGGAGTAGATCTGAAATGTTCTCACCATTTAAAACAAAATGGTGATTATGTGACATGATGCAGGTGTTAGCTAAGGTTAGGGTGGTAATCATTTTGCAATATATAAGTCTATTAAAGCAACACATTGTATACCTTAAACTTAGACAATGTTCTTGCCAGTTATATCTCAGTAAAGCTGGGGGGGAAAATGGGCAAAGGACTTGAATGGACACTTCTCCAAAGAAGATGGACAAATGGCCAATAGCATATGAATATAAGCTTCCTAAGGGCAGGAATCAAGTCTTAGTGAATATCTTTATTTTCCACAGATGGTACTCAGTATTAAGAACATAGTACGGGCCAGCCCCGTGGCCGAGTGGTTAAGTTCGCACACTGCACTTCGGCTGCCCGGGGTTTTGCCGGTTTGGATCCTGGGTGCAGACATGGCACCGCTCGTCAGGCCCTGCTGAGGCGGCGTCCCACATGCCGCAACCAGGACCCACAACTAAAATATACAACTGTGTACTGGGGGGATTTGGGGAGGAAAAGCAGGGAAAAAAAAAAAAGATTGGCAACAGTTGTTAGCTCAGGTGCCAATCTTAAAAAAAATAAAACAACATAGTAGATGCTCATTGTATAGTTTTGATTCACAGAAGTTTTAAATGTCTTTTGAAATTACTGTTTTAATTATATTCTTTCAGATCTATCAAATCTATTCAAAACGATCTGCTGAGGATATTTATAAAATACTGACATCCTACAAGACTAATTACCTAATTGTAGAGGATGCTATCTGCAATGAGGTGGGAACCACGAGAGGCTGTAGGGTTAAAGATTTATTAGACATTGCAAATGGCCACGTAAGTAACCATTTAGAAAGTTAAATCTTTTTGAGAAAACTAACTTTATTTAAACTTGTAATTTTCAAACTTTACTTTTGGAACTTAACTAAGAATATAATTAAAAGATATCAGTGGGGGAGTTTGTTAAAAGTAGTTTGAAGTATTTTTCCAATGTAGTATTTTTGAAGTATTTTTCAAAAGAAAAGTTGGATATTTTTGCAAAAATAATAGTTTTAAATATAATTTTTCCTTATTCATTGCCTGTACTTGTGCATATTCAACATTTATAAGCAAAAGATGGCATAATTTGACTTGAATGATGATTGTAACTCATGATAATCTCAAGAGCAGTTGCATTGTCATGTTTTAGGTTGAGAAATGTTTTATAATTTGATACATGGCTAGAAAAATTGTTTACTAAATTATCACTGTCCTGTATATTGAGTCCCTGTTAGTCACAAAAATTAGTGTATTCAGAGCCACTTTAGTTGTTCAGACTTAGCTCTATCTTAATTTTTCATTGATTTCCAGTATTTTACAAGCTTTCTTACTTGTCAGCCTGCAGTGTATGTACGGTATATCTGGCAGCTAAGAAGACTGACAGGGAGGTTTGTATATCTGGTAATCAGTGTTGTCTGCAATGGGTACCTTTGCTCCTGGGAAAGTTGGGGGTGGAGGACTTTAGGGAAAGTTTAGTAGGGCATTCTAAGTTGGAGCGGCATATTCTCTTCAGGTTGCAGCCAAGATTTTTGTCTGCTCCTTCCTAAATAGCTCTTTGCCTTATCATCCCAGGCCAGTTGGAGGTGAGAAATTAGTTTTTATAATTTCCATGTTTCTCTTTCTTCATGGCCCCTTAATCTCGTAATATAAACGTATTCTATTTTCTGCTGAATGTATTTTGAATTTTCTCTGTTGGCACTTGATGTCTGTGATCTTTGGCTTAATTGGTGACAAAATGAAATTTCATTAAACATCAGGTATTCAGTAATTACTACTCTATTGGTTCCTATCTGGAGCCTTTTTATTCTGCTCTTAGCTACCTTTTTGCTCCATTTTGAAGATCAGGTTACTTCTTTCATGTAATGCCAGGCACAAGGACTTAAAGCTAATCCGTTCTTTTAAAGTTGGCTCTCTGACATCTTTCCTAGACATTGGAGTAATATTTAGTGTTTTATTATAGAAAAACCTTCAAGCTAGCTAAGCTGTCTTAGTGAATATCATTAAAGTGAGAATGTAAAGATTTGCACTGAATAAATCGTGAAAACTTACTTGCTTGCTAGATAATTGTGAGTCATTTCTACACAAAAGGAGAAGAGTTTGAATATACATTAAGAATAGAATGTTCGGGGCTGGCCCTGTTGCCAAGTGGTTAAGTTAGCATGCTCTACTTTGGCGGCCCAGGGTTTCACCGGTTCGGATCCTGGGGGTGGACATGGCACTGCTCATCAGGCCATGCTGAAGCGGCATCCCACATAGGACCTACAACTAGAATATACAACTGTGTACTAGGGGGCTTTGGGGAGAAGAAGAAGAAGAAGGAAAAAAAATGGACAACAGATGTTAGCTCAGGTGCCAATCTTTAAAAAAAAAAAAAAAGAATATAATATGTTCATTTCTCAGCCTTGGTAGGCTGCATGATAAGATTCTTCACAGGAATGATAATGGACTATGGAGATACAGCCCTCTAAATTTTAGAGTTAAATCTTTAAAAAATTGGCAACACTTTGTACTGGTTTCTCAATCTCAATGGGAACCTCAAGAGTCTAGTTGACGTGACTCTTATGAAGAGGCTTCTATTTGCTTAACAATGTGAGATGTTTGCTAAACAATGTAAGATAGTCCATGTTGAGTAATAATATGTGTTTTCATATAAATATAATCATTTATACATTGATTGCATTTCTCCTGTAAGTTTATTAAGCTTTTTAATACTATGTTTCATATCTTTTGATAGGTGGTTTGTGAAGAAGGTGACAAGTTAACCTACTCAAAATATGGGCGATTTTGTCATGAGGTCAAAATTAACTATTCTCCATATGTGAATTATTTCACTAGAGTATATTGGAACAGGTCTTATTTTGTATATAAAATCAACACTGTGATATCCTTTCAGTCTTGAAAAACAGCAGAGTCTTCATTTCAAAGACTTATACCACCTGCAGCAAAATGCGATTTTCTTCAACCTCTGTGGCATCTTTGGAAATCAGAGTATGGACATTTGAAATGTTACTGCTGCTTTTCTCCTGCTCTTAACTGGATCCAGAGTTCTGTGAGGAACAGAAGAGCGAGCATCACTGTCCTTTGGGAAAGTGTCAAATCTACCACTCTGCAGTAGTCCAGCTGGGTGTTTTCCTTATTGTTACGTGGTCTGTCAAGATTTTACCTTCTAAACCATTGTAAAATTTTCCTCATAAATCTTCATTCTATCAGAACATTTATCTTGAATTTTAATATGTTCAAGGTCAGAGTATATCTCTTAAACATAGCATTTAATAAATTCTTAATGTGATATAATTTTAGATTAGAAGAAAAGAATTCTTACAACTCAAGGTAGTTTCTGAAGATACTTCATGGGTTATAATAGAATTGAAATATTACAATAAAAAACTAATTTAAATGTTAGCTGAAAATATGTGGCATTTAAATTAAAATGAAAATTAGATAAAGGAAAGTGCTTTTAAGGATATTCATAAAGATATACCCAGGTTTTCCATGATATTGCTGTCATCGTCTGCTGCTTATATAAATGAGCCCTTTCTTAGTACTATATGGTGCATGATATTGCGTTTTATTATTTTATGACTATTAAGTGGTTAGCTTTTTTTGCTTATGCTCATAAATTTGATACCAACTTAATCATGATAAAACAATAACTATTGTTATCTATATATTTTTTAAAACAGACATTTAAAAGAATGCCGTTCAGGTTTTTAAAAAATATGGATAGAGGGTATATAATCTATTCACATGTTTTCTACTCAAGGTTAAGTAAAAAATTAAATCTTTTATCAGAATAAGAATATGTACACTAAAATGAGCAACAGTTTCTGGAGATATGTGCAGATGCTGTTAAATATACCTCTGCATACAGTTATATTTATTATAAAACACAAGTGCTATTATTTATGAAACTGTTATATAGTCGTCGAAATTGAGACAAAATGACAATTATAATAAATTTCACAGCACAGTTTCACAATCTAAATGCCATGTTCCTTTAAGTTAAATGTTTTCATATTTTTAATCATTTATTAAAAGAAATTTTAAAATGATTAATTTGACCTTATAAAGAGATCCAGGATAGATGTATCATTTTAATAAGATGGGATGCATGTTTAGTTTTAGTCTATACATTTGTTTAATGAACAAGTTTTCAAAATTTTCACTTATTAGAGTGCTATAAAAATTAGTTTCATTACTCTAAATTACTACATTAAAGGGAGCAACTTGCATTATCTTTATTTTCTGTAATATATATACCTATTTTAAAAGTACAAAACCACATGCATTCTTAGACTAGTCTAGGATGCTTTGCTTTTTGGAATTTTAAGATTGTTGAATGGAGGTGTCATATCTGGTGCATTAGTTTTATTGGTTCTCATTTCATGCTTTTGTATAATTTTTAACAATTAAGATCACTACAGGCAGGGTATTTCAGGTTCTCTGTACATCTTAATAGTGAGTCACTAGTATTTAGCTTCAACACTTATGAAAATATTACCACAGTTACCTAAGTACACAGTGAATAGTCACATGGTAATACTGTGATTAGAGCATGGAAAACGATGTAATTGAAAAGTCCGTTTCCCTATTTTGAAAAGAAAAATAGAACAACCTCCTTTCCATGTAACATGAAATATTTAATTGAATTTTTATTGATTTACGTTATGATCAGATATGCTGAATTAGTTTTGATTATTGTTTGTTTTGGGGGGGGTTGTTTTTGACATAGTAGTTTCTTTTGCTTCTGTCAACTTATTTCTTTTTTTTTTTTTTAAAGATTTTATTTTTCCTTTTTCTCCCCAAAGCCCTCCAGTACATAGTTGTGTATTTTTAGTTGTGGGTCCTTCTAGTTGTGGCACGTGGGACGCCACCTCAGCGTGGCCTGGTGAGCGGTGCCATGTCCGCGCCCAGGATCCCAACCAGCCAAACCCTGGGCCACGGAAGCGGAGTGCGTGAACTTAACCGCTGGGCCCTGGGACCAGCCCTCAACTTATTTCTTAAATAAAATAGATTTAGAGAAGGCTTTCATTGATTTTTTAAATCATGAATTTTTCATTCAGCATCAGTTGAAAAGGAAAGTGTGATCTTTATTATAGAAATAATAATATTAGATGTGAGAGAGAAGCTTATTTGCTTCTATTTTAGTTCTAGTTAAAACAATAGTACTAGAAAGCTTTGAGTGAGGAGCATTTAATTAATTCCCTTACTTTTTCATAGAGTAACAAATGATTAAGAATTGTGCAAGGAATTCCATTTGGGTAACTTATGCTGGTTATGTATGACAATAAAGATCTGCTCTGAAAGGAGCCAAGTTTATGATTTTTGGGTAGAAGGATTTCTCAAGAAATAGAAAATGTACTTTGCCCTTGATGTTGCAAAACCATTGAATTAAGTGCCTTAACTTCTTTATTTCAAACTTTACTTTTTATTTTCCAAAAAATATTATCCATTTCTTTCTTTCCATGAGAATACTTTTGTAACATTTTCCTCATCATTAAGCACAGAGAGAGAATCCTCACTAGGCTACTTTTACTGTTAACTTTAATTCATTAGTAAGCGAGCGTTCAGGGTAGCAATGGGATTTCTAGCCTGCTAAGTTAATTTATCTAGCTTCCCAAATGCCAAACAATCCAACAAATAAAACTTAATTGATAAAGTATATGATATTGACTGCTGGTTTATATTTTTTCTAACTTTGGCATCTGCATCTTGGTGCTTTTTTTTAGACTGGTAGGGTTTTACAACCTAGGCAGTATGTATTGTACATCAGAACTTTTTTCTTCATTGCTTTGTTTGTATATAGACAGCATGTTTTTTCAGGATATTAACCCAAATCGTTGATGGCCTCAGTGTTATGGCACGCTTCTGTACAGTCCAGATGGATTTAAGGAAAAGCAGAACTGGAGGTCAGTGTGTTTGTTACATGTCAGGGCTGAAAAATATGCTTTACAAAAAAATTACTGATTTCTTGAAGGGCACATGGAATAGCCATTTTATTAAACTTTCGTTTTTGAGAAATTCCTTGTAGTCTTTTTCTATTTTTGAACTGTAAAACATTTTGATGCCTTTAATGGATAAAAGCAGCACCTCTCTGTCAAATCAGTGGAGTTTCTAAAAGTTGTATGTAAGTCGATTTTTTTGTTAAGTTTATTTTAAATGCATGAATATTTAAAGGGCACATATTATGAATTAGTCTGTGTATTGAAGAACCTTTTGTAAAGTACTTTCTGACTTACATCTCAGTGTATTCTCTCCATTTGTCCAGTTTTTAAAATATAGTCTCTATTGTTGCTATTTGCTAATATTTTTAGATCCCAGTATGTATTAAATTTACAGCTCTGAAAAGTTACAAGTAACATTTAAAAATTTCTTATTGAAATAATAGCTCATTAGTAAGTTTTTGAATGTGTAGGGTTAACACTTTAAATAAAATTAGACGTGAAAAATGCAAAGGCATGTATTTGACTCAACTATTTTCTGTCCCTTAAGGTTTCTAACCATTATACTTACTGGTTTTCCATAATAAAAAAGGGCATTTTGGAACCAGATTTGCTGAATTTAGCATAAAGACATCTTTCAATCATTTCTGTTTATAAGTCTCATATTTTACAGCATTTTTTTTTTTTTAAGATTGGCACCTGAGCTAACAACTGTTGCCAATCTTGTTTATTTTTTTCACTTTCTGCTTTTCCTCCCCAAATCCCTCCAGCACACAGTTGTATATATTTCAGTTGTGGGTCCATCTAGTTGTGGCACATGGGATGCTGCCTCAACGTGGCCTGATGAGCGGTGCCATGTCCGTGCCCAGGATCCAAACCAGCGAAACCCTGGGCCGCAGTAGCGGAGCACAAGAACTTAACCACTCAGCCACGGGGCCGGCCCCTGTTTTATAGCATTTTAATCTTGACGTATATAATCCTATGTGCAGTTCTGTAAGAGATACACTGAACATCTGACCACTGTATTTAATGGAATAATAGTATCAGAAAGAAACATGCATTCCAGACTTATAGTTTGAAATATCTCATAACCAACCTTTCATATTTTAATAGCTTTGTACAGCCATTTAACAAGGACAAATACAATTGCTTCATATCATATCTATGACAATGTATATTTAGATTAAATGCATTCCTTCTGTAACTAAGGTTCTATCTTTGCAAAAGAATAAAAGTTAATTTCAATAAATATTAATAATTATTAATCCTTTAAGAGAGTTGGGTTGTAAACTAGTTTACTTAAGATTTTGTAACATTAAATGTACTTTTATCAAGAATGAAATGATTTATTTCACGCTTAATTACACTCCTTTTGTTTCCATAATAAAACTTTTTAGAATTTTAAGTTGTCTTTTATTTATATATGAACCTTTTTTGTTACACTTTATTGAGACAATTCAAATACCGTACAATTCACCAATTAAAAGTGTACAATTCAACAGTTTTTAGTATGTGCACAGAGTTGTGCAATTATCATCACAATTAATTTTAGAACCTTTTCATCACCCCAAAAAGAAACCCCATACCTTTTAGCTGTTACCCCCATCCACTCCATTCTCAAGCAACTCCTATTAATATACTTTCTGTCTCTGTATTTGTATATTCTGGACATTTCATATAAGTGGAATCATATACTATGCGACTATAATTATTCACATATATGTGACTAGCTTCTTTCGTATAACATTTTCAACATTCATTCATGTTGTTGCGTATACCTTTTTTTATTGCCAAGTAATATTCTATTGTATGGATATACCACATTTTGTTTATCTATTCATTCGTGGACATTTGGTTTGTTTCTACTTTTTGGCTATTATGAATAATGCTGCTATGAATGTTTTTGGTGGATATATGTTTTCATTTTTCTTGACTGTATGTCTCCTTTGTCTAGGAGTAGAATTTCTGGATCATACGATTACTATGATAACTGAGGCACTGCTAGACTGGTTTTCAAAGTGACTTACTGTGTTACAATCTCCAACAATGTATGAGTTTTCCCGTTTTTCCACATCGTCACCAACACTTGCTATTACCTTCTTGATTATAGTCACCATAGTGGGTGTGATGTGGTATATCATTGTGGTTTTAATCATCATCATGGCTAATGCTGTTGAGCATCTTGTCATGTGCTTACTGGCCATTTGTGTATCTTCTTTGAAGTAATGTTTATTTAAATTCACAAAGGAACTGACTTTCTTTGAAAACTGTTCATTTCCTGTTTCGTTATTACTTTGGCTTGGCCCATTTCTAAATCCAGATCATGGCATCTTTTCAGCTTCAACTCCCATTATTAATCATCTTGACCTCTTATTATTTCAATTTGCTGAGAGGGAATCTGGCCCAGCTTGAGTTTTTGGACTAGGCCATTGGCCATGTCTAATAACAATAAACTTACTGAGAATTTACTTTGTACTAGACACTATGCCGTCTGCTTTGACATAATTCTTTTAATCTTTTAACGCTATAATTAGTGTTATTATGCCCATTTTACAAATAATAGTTATGCAACAAGTAAATGTTGTAACTGATATTTAAAGCTAGGATTACTCTTTTGGTTAGCTTCTGCCATTTTTCCTGGTCTTATGGAAACGGGGGGTCGAGGAGATCGAGACCTCTTTGGCAGAACTGAGCCGCAACTTCAGCCAGAAGCGGCTCTAGATCATACTCAGCTGTGTAAGCTTTGTTCAAAAAAAAAAAACAGAAGCCAAGAGACCACGCGATAGCTGCTGACTTGAGACTCAGTGCCGCAGTTCTAGAGCCTTCATGCCGAGAGGGGGCTGCACAGTGCACCAAAGGGCGCCCTGCCTGGGATCTCTGCTATTGCAGCAAAGAAGGTCACACCCTGGAATGCGTCCCCCGGTAGGTGGACTGCGTTGAGACCATGTCTCCAGGGTCGGTTCCGCTGGGAAGCATCCTGACCCTGACGAGTATTTAGAGGAGAATACTGCTTGGCACCAATTAATGGAAACCGAGTTGACAAACGGAAGGGAAGCCCGCGCCGGTCCCCAGCGAAAACACCTGCAGTCGCGCGGTCGCCAACTGCTGGAGAAGCGAATGGAGGCTGGGCGGGGCCCTACGCCAACCGCGGGGAATGGATTGGGCGGAGTCATCCCGTAGCACCTGGGAGCTCCGCATACCCAGTGGCAGACTGCTGCTCTTGTCTGACGTCCCCGGACTACGGTCCTTGAGTTGCCGCGGCTGCTCTGCCTGCTTCTGCCCATGGGGACTGGAGGAAGCGAGAGAGAAAGCCTTGGGGGCGGGGTCCGCCGCGGGTAGGCAGCCCGCGGTATCCTGGAGTCCTGTGGATGATGCTCGCGCCCTTTCTTTGGGTCTCGCCCAGGGAAGACAAAGTTCGCACGCGTTGTTTCTGATTTTATGGGGCGGATGCAAGTAGCCAGAAGTTTAGGTCATAGCTACAAATACAAGGAGAGTGAAGCGCCCGGTCTCCCCCCGGGCCCGGGCACTCTGCGGTGCTCATTCTGCCCGAGGGGTCAGGGACTCTTTTGTATGCGCTCATTCATTGTGACCCTCTCCTTGCCTCTCCTGGTAAAGTTACTCTTCTCTGAGACTAACTCCACTATAGATACTTAGAACTGCAGGGGCGACGGAGGGTCGAGGGGGATGAGGTCTTGATTCTCGTAAATTAGCGTTCCTGACATTTTCTAAGTATGGGCATCGGGGAGATTTGGCGTGTACTTGGGAGCCCGTAACCACCTGGCGAAGA